TTCCTGAGCCCAAGCTCTCAGGATGGGTATGCAGCTACTCCAGCTGGGCAGGCACAAGGAGTCACAAAGCTGGGAGCTGCAAGCTTTGCTGAATCAGGATGCAAAAATTTGATAGAAATTAAAAAGACATTAATCTGTGCATAGAACTTGAGTTGTAACATAGATAGTGCCAGCAAAATGGTAATTGTAGGTACTGAATGAAGGTCAGTAATTTTACTCAATAACTGGGACAAGATCCCCAAACCCCAAAAGGGTGCATACATTTAACAGAGGTTGTTTCCAGCATGAAATTTCAAACGAGTTTTTTTGTTCTTTTATTCTAGTTGAATTTGCAAGCTAGTGTGTTGTTATACAAACTCTGAGACTCTGACAACTAGAGCTTACTAAGCAAGTCACAATGATTAATAATTTAATACAGAATATTTTGCAAGACAGTTTCATGCAGACTTCCCATGGGAGAAAAACTTCAACTGATAGGCTGAAATCCATGATGTATTTTGCATGATTGTTGTTGCTATCTCTTGGGTTAAGCTGAAATTACTGTGTTGCAGTGTTTTCCACCTACAATTTATAGGAAAATTAATCTAGTTTTGCATGAATCATGAAATTCTCTGAGCTCAAGTAACTATGATAGCCACTGAATGAGTGCTCTGTTGTAACTTTCAGCTCAGAGTTCCACTGGGCACATTTGATGAATTGACAACAGCATCCAAATAAAGGATGTGGAATGTCTCTAGACCTGTCATTTATCATTGGGATGATAATGAAATAAAGGGTAAAAATGGGTTAATGGAAATGGATATTCATGACTCATGAATGGTATTGGTATCAATGCTGGTTCTTTGTTTTATTTGGTAAATCATTAATTAATTTGCATGTAAAATAAGTTGGAATCAAAAGTTTAAAATGCTAAGATTAGCTTTCTGACAAGTTTCAATCTTAGTTTTAGGCAACTTTGTTCTATACCATATTTTTTATTCAATATGCTTTTCCAATTTCAGATTGAGACATAAAAAATGCTTCATTTCTAATTTTTTATAAAAACAATTTTTCTTATCTTGCTTTTCACATTGAGACATTAAAGTTTTTCCATGTATAGTCATTAATGCCCAGTGTTTATTTCTGAAGGTACTGTTATATTCCACTAGATGGTAGTGCAGACCCTATTCTCAGAATCCTTTTCTGCTGCCTGTGCGCTTTCTTGTACAATAAGGCAGTGGTCTGGATGAGAGGCATGTTTGAAAGTGCAGCCTCAAGTCACCCTGGCTTAAAAGCAGTGAACAACAGGTATGGTCCTCATCGTGCTCTGCTCTCCCCTTTTCCTCTGAGGCATCAGCGATCCTAAAAGAATTGAGTTTCATAATGGGGGATTTGATTTGCCAGAATGGTTTTGTAGAGGTATTTAGTTCATGAGGCACAGGGAAATTTTAAAAATGGTCCATGATGTGAGGAAACATGAAACTTCTGGAAGATTAAGGTTCTCAGTTCACCAGAAATTCTGCATTCATCTGTCAGCAATTCACTGTAGGTGTTTCATGCCTTAGATACCAAATTAGATTTGATTCTAGAACTCCCTTGAGTCGCTGACACAACTTTAATGAGATTAAGTGCAAAAAGTTGAAATTAATCAGAAGCAGGCAGAAGTAAAATTACAGTTCAGGACAAGGAAAATGGCCAGCACATTTGAAACATCACTATGATTTAAGTATTAGTTGTTGATTCAAGTACATGGCTAGGAAATCAGGATAGCTAACAATGAAATCCATCATGGAGCAGTACAATCAACATGGGGGTAAAGGGAAGATAGATAAAATTCTACTGGAAAAAAATAAATTAAGAATCAATTTTCCTTTGTTTAAGGATAAGAAAGTTTGCTAAAACACAGGTGTTGTGATGATAAAAGTGTTTGATGCCCAGAACAAGAATAAATGACAAGTATGTCTAAACTTAGTGGATATGGAAGCCCTCATGAGTGCCTGGCTCCACATTTCCCCCCAGGCTGATACTACACTGCTGTCAGTTCTGCATGAAGGCAGCAGGACGTGCAGCCTGTAAAAAACCCCAGTGGGCTTTGGTCAGGTGCCTGGTCTGGATCAAGGACATGGGGAACACCCCTGCTGGCAAAGTCAACACAGATGTGAGAGACAAGTTAATTCTTATAATGCCCAAGCAATGTAAAGCTCTGTTTGTTGTGTGTTTGTGTATGTTTATATATATATAAACTAATATGGATGAGCAAATCATGACCATTCTGATATTTTTACTGTATTTTCATGTTTTGTACTAGACAGATGGAAAAGAGATGGTGTCATATCTAAATGATGCATGTCTATCACAATGAAACCTCTAAGAGCACTTGTGAAATTAATAATAACAGTGATTTTGTACCTTAGAAGCAATTTTTCTCTTAAAGACTAAAATAGAATGAGAGCTGCAAGGAGACAGGACACATAAGAGCAGTAAATCTCTATCAGAATGTAATTTAATAGGGTTAAAGTAATACAGACATAGCATTTGTAACTGGAATGTTTTATATCTGAAACAAATTAACTGACAAACTAGTATTATAAATTTACTAAATGATACATAGTATTCTGAAAGATGACAATGACTTTATACTAGAAAATGTTTGCTGTTTTTGTAATGAAAAATTCCACTTTCTTTTTTTTTACAGTGGGGTGGATTCAGCTATGCAAATACTGTTATTGTAATTTCTTTTTGTGAGTATCTCATAACATTTCGGAAATCTTTCCATTTTCATGGTACTAATAACGAACAGAGAAAAATTTCAGTGACATATAACATTGTTTATAAGGAACAAGTGATAACGGTAAAGGCATAATAATACAGTAAATAGTAATTATAGGGCCAATAGAATGGTTTGGGTTGGAAGAGACCCTAAAAATTATCTATTTCCTGGGCAGGGATGCCTGCAACTAGACCAAGTTGCTCAGAGCCCCAGCCAACTTTGTGTTGAACACTGCCAGGGCTGAGGCATCCACAGCTTCTGCAGACCACCTGTGCCAGTGCCTCACCACCCTCACAATAAAGAATTTCTTCTCAGTATTTAATATAAACCTGCCCTCTGTCAGTTTAAAGCTATTCCACCTTGTCCTGTCTCTCCATGCTCTTACAAAAATTCCCTCTCCTCGCTTGTAAACCCTTTAGGCACTGAAAGGTGCTCTGAAGTTTCTCCAGAGGCTTCAGGTCTCCGGGCTTAACACCCCCAGCTCTCTCAGCCTGTCTCCATCCTCCAGCCCTCTTCAAGATATAATAACTAAGTATTTTGTCCCAAAGCATCACAAAAAAGCAGCGAAAATGAAGTTGCAGTGTTTTCCCGGCTCAAGCTGCGCTGGGTGTGGCCCCGGCAGAGCCCGGCACTAGCGGGGAGCTCCCGCGGGGCGGCAGCTCAGGACTGCGCTACCGCCGGCAGCGGCTCCAGGGAGTGGCTCTCCCCAGCAGCTTTTGCTTTCCCTCTGCGCATTTTGTTTCCTTATTTTTGTGCGAGTTTACAAGGATACTTTTTTTTTTTTCTTCTTCTGCAGTGATTTTTTTTTCCTACTTAATCTCTTAAACTCTAAAATTGATTCATGTTAATATTAATAATTTAAGGGAAATAAGCCTTTTCACGGTCTAATCACACCAGCATTGAGAAGTGACAGTTGCCTCTGAATAAAGGATGGCATGATTGGCAGGATTACCTTCAGGCAAGGAGAGATCTGGAGAGAAGTGGAATAGTGTGAAACTTCATCTCTCTCCCATGCTGTTCAGATTATTTATCAAAGTATGTGAAGATCAAAAAAAAAAAAAATCAAGGGAAATGCATGCATGTAAATTATTAACAGCCTGCCTCAGAGGATGAGCAGATTTTGTTCATACTGTATTAACTATAACAAATTTTATTACATATTCAAAGAAAAAGAAATAGAAGTTACAACTCCATCATGGTAGTAGATAATGTGTGAAATAATCTCATAAGAAAATATTATCTACAAAATAACATTGTAAATATAAGAAAATATTGTCAAGAAAGTAGCTGACGTACAGGGAACTACTTGTTTATTTTTTATTTATATTGTTGACTCTTATAGGTTGAAATGGAATGCTTGCTCTAGTCCAAACAACAATATTCTGGTGTGAGCCATCTGTAACTGAGATCTGTAATGCAGGCCACCAACAAGAATAAAGACTGGTTCATGAAGCAGTAGCACAAAAGCAAATCTTTATTTGCTGTTGCTCAGCAACCATGTGTGAAAGGCCCATTTTTCATTTTTGCCTTAACTTGACAGGAAAATGATAATAAATATGAGATTATTATCACAGGGTATAGATTATTTTGAACAGATGAACAGATATGTCAAAGAGAGGTATGTAATTTGGTACTCTTGAAAGAGGGAATATTAGAGAAACTGAAAATAAAGTTGTAGGTTTATTACTGGCTTGCAGTTCATGCACAGTTCTTGAAAAAAACCTAGAAAACATTATTCTGTCTCTCTGGTCTCTCTATATGGTCCATTAAAATGAATCACTTGCTGTTATTCAGCCTGTTGTTATCTGTGTCAACTTCTAGTTTCAATACTATGAAACAAACCATTCTGTGGTTGCTATGCAACAGAAATGAAAAACTAAAATATGTTTTATTTTGTTTGCTAAAATGATACGTGCCCAATTAAATAAACAGTAACCAGGTGACTAAGGTAGCATCTAATTAAAAGACAAATCAAGGTATTAATGAAATATTCAGCCTACATGAGTCATGATAATAAATCCATCAGTTTGTATCTAAAATGGCAAAGCTTTTTAATATATGCAGAAAATTTTTAATATAAGCATACATTAGCATAATTTATAAATTTCAGGGGTTATACTTTTTTATTTGTTTTTACAATTCTACAGGTATGCTGATTGCCCATCCAACTTATTCCAAGCCAACTGTTTTACAGGCTCCTTGCACTTAGCTGAATATGTAACTTGGGATATAAAGCCAGGTCCACAGGATGTGAAACAAATAAATCAAATAAATTTATTTTATCAAACAAATGTGGCAGAAAATGCAAAAAATCTTATTTTTTAATGTAAACTAAAACTGTGAAAGGCAGGATCATTAAGGAAGAGTCTATGTTAAAAATTAAAAGAGCAGAATATGTAAATGCTACTTTTAAAGGAGTGAATTTTTACATTTAATATGAAATAAATTCTGAATTACATAATATATTTTAAAATTACAATCCTGAAAAGTCCAACCAGATATGATAACTTCTATGGAAATTATAGTTGGGTTTCTGTTTGTTTGCACAGTAGAGCAGCACATTCTGTACTGCTTCTACAGACTGGAAGTAAATTGCTTCAGTTATGCACTGCTCTCTTCTGAACAGCCAACACTACTGAAAATGCCAAATGGAAAGATACAAACTAAGCCCTTAACTTTGCAGCACTTTGACTGGTTTTGGTTTGCAGAAGATCTCAAACAAATGGAATGGGGAATATTGTAGAATTCAAAATCTATTTCCAAACACTGCAAAGAAGAAACAGAAGATATAATTTCCTGATATATTAAAAAAATCCTCAGTTATCAAACTCTAAATATTATCTGATTTACATAATCTGGCATATATTCTGTACATTCTCGCATATAGGCTGTTTAACTCTTGATTGCTTTTGGATGAAGAGTGCAAAGTACTCATACTGTTCACCAGGACTGTGAGGAAAAGCATAGCTGTCAGCAATAGCAACAATTACATTATTGGAGAAAAAAGCCAGTGTAATCATATGCATGATGTTCTGTAAAAGTTATGTCCACGTTACCAGAGATCCATGCAGGAAGGAATTCTGTTTCCTAAGCATGAACATGAATTTAACTGAGCATGTCTTACCCCCATTTGGAAGCACTGACACTTTGCAGGCAGGTACAGAAAGGCAACAGTGAGCGGGGCGGTGGGTTTGAACCCTGGCAGCTGCCTCTGGGTGAGTGAGGGATGTCACCGTGCCTCCAGCCAGCCTGGGTTAGAAAGCAGCAGAGGAAGGAGCCTTTCAGTGTGGCCGAAGCTGCTGGGATGTGAAAAAATTTTATGATTGGCTTTTCGCAAATGTTACAATAAATATGTGTAATGTTAGAAAGTTATGATTCTCTTATGTAGTGTGTTAAATGTAGTTTTAAGTTACAACATAATCTTAAAATAGAAACTCTGCGATATAAGATTTGTTACAAGCTCGAGCAGGAAGATGAGATAATCAAGAAACTCTTCACACAGAGATGTCAGCGAACAGGGCCCATAAAAAGTTACTGCCTCCTTATCAGAAAAGAGAAACATTCTTCCACCTTCTCTCCGTCTTTTTCGAACCACCAAGATTAAGGAGAAGAAGTTGACAAAAATCAGAAAAGTTCTTAATTTGCAAAGAATTTATGCATCATGTATGAGATACATGAATATGCAACAGGCTATTACTTTTAAGGTTATTCCTTTGTTCACAAGGTATGCTTTTCGCGACTTAAGTGTCCAAGAGCATCCAAATGTCCGTAATTCTTTGTTTTTTATCGTCTTATAATTATCCTAACTCTAAACTTTATTACTCTAATTATATTACTATTTTATAACCATTTTATTATTATTAAAATTTTAAAAACGAAGCGATTGGCGTTTTTTCACAGGGAGAAGCTGCTCGGCCGTGGAGCCAGGGAAGGGGCTGGGGAAGGGCGGCCCAGCCCGGAGGAGGCTCAGGAGCGACTTTATCGCTCTGAAAGCTGCAGCCAGGTGGGGGTCGGGCTCTTCCCCCAAGTAACCAGCGACAGACAACAGGACACAGCCTGAAGCTGCGCCAGACGAGGTTCAGGTCGAACATTAGGAGGAATTTCTTTACAGAAAGGCCGATTGGAATGGGCTGCGCAGGGAGGTGCTGGAGGCACCCTCCCTGAAGGTGTCTAGGAAAGAGTGGACGTGGCACTCAGTGCCATGGTCTAGTTGACCTGGTGATGTTGGATCATAGACTGGACGTGGCACTCAGTGCCATGGTCTAGTTGACCTGGTGATGTTGGCTCATAGGCTGGACTAGGTGACTTCAGAAGCCTTTTCCAAGCAGTGACCCTGTCCCCCTCACGGCCTCCTTCCCCCCAGCCGCCCTCAGCGCGGGAAGGGGCGGGGGCTGTGGCCGAGTTCTCGCGAGACGGGACGGGAGTTCCGCGGCGCGCGCTCAACGCCGGCCGCGGGAGGATTCGAAAAGTGGCGGGTGAGGGAGGGGCCGGGCGGGGCCCGGAGCGTCCCCGGTGCCTCGGGGTGTCCAGCGGCGGCTCGGAGCGTCCCCGGGTGCCTCGGGGTGTCCCCAGGTGTCCCCTCCGAGCGGCTCCCGGGGCCGGTGTCTCCTCCGGCGGTGCTGCCGTGCGCCGCGGGCTCTCCTACGCGCGTGTCCGCCGGCTGCGTTCCGCTCCGCTGAGGCGTCCCGCGGGTCCGTGAGGGTTCGGCCGCTCTGAGGGAAGCCCAGGTAAGCGGCACGTCCAGCTCCCCGCTGCCTGCTCTGCCGCGGCCTGGCCGAGCCCCCGGTGCCTCGGGACGAGGCCCAGGAGCGGCCCCCGTCCCGTTCTGTGAAGTGACTTGACGCGCACTAAATGCTGTGTAAGTCACTTTCCCACTGGGAAAGCACGTCGGGAGACACCTAGCATGGAGGCAATGTTAACGTCAGCAAATAAGGTTCTTGGTGGCCTTGTCCATGTCCCATGGTTTTCTCTTGATAGACGAAATTACTTCTCTTTCTCTTTCTCTTTCTCTTTACTACCCCTCCGTGCTTCTGATATAAATAAATACTGTTGTTGGGGATGATAACCAGCTTAAATAGCGGTTATCTGCTTAAGAATGCATTGTGCTTTTTGAAAATCAGAGTATTCATTAGCAATTTATTCTGCTTTAAGACTTATTTACTAAAAAAAAAAAAAACAAACCCAAGAAAAAGAAAACAAGCCCTGCAGCCTAGTGATGTTGTGAATCTAAATCCTGATTCAGATAACTAAAATATGTTGGAGGGGAAAACTACTTTAACTATGTAGTGCATGTATAACTACTGTAATATATAATATATATATATATATGAATGCTGTGTATATAACTGATAGATGACTACAACAGACCAAAATGATCTTGTTTTGGTATACAGTACCTTCTCTAACATTATGTTTTGGTTATAAAGTAGGGAAGACCAATTCCAGGATGAAACGCGAAGCATTTTTGCAAGTTGTGTCTAAAGAGTCAATTGAAGACTTCCTGCGCTACACTCAGAATCCTGTAAGTGAGCCAGTGTATACGTTTATCACTCCTGGAGTCCTAAGTCTCTTACAAGTGCAGAAATCATGTGACAAAGGGACAGAAACTAAACTATTTGTCTGGTGTGTGGGAGTAACTGCTGTAGAAAATAAGTTCAAGTGGCACTTGAAGGAATATAGGCTGAAAAAGTTGTGGAATCTGAAATATGAATGGTTATAAGCCAACTGATTTTTTGATATTTGGTTGTTCCACATACCATTTTTAAAAAAAAAATTATTAGTATTTGTGTAATTCTAAACAAATATTAATTTCGTGTTGCTGAAATATTACATTGTTAAATTTCAACCCATGAAAGAGTATTGGTATATGATGAATAAGAGCTGATGTACAAACGTAGCAGAATTGTGTTTCACTAGTATTTCTTCATCCATTTAAAAGTTTGGGCTGTCCACTTGTTCTTTGGTCCATGTTTAATTTTACTTGATTGTTCTTTCTATCACTGAATGCTTTAGAATAGGGGTAGATTGCTCTCTTGAAAGGAAGTGTGGAGAGAACAGGGAGGAACAACAAAACAAATCCCATTAAATCTAGTATTGAAAGCTCATTTTCATATTATGTATATATTGCATAATAATAGAAATAATAATTTGCATTGAGGGGTTTTCCACTCACCTTCAATCTGTCTGGTGTTAAGATATAGCTGAGCTCTTCTCAACATCTTTTGCTTGCTGCCATAAATGGAATTGTCAAGTTATTTCTTAAGCTTTCTAATGGGTATTTTCCTGGTAGTGCCTGTGCCAGGATAAAGTGGATCAGTTGACCTCTGTGTGCACAGAGGCATGAACTGATTTAATGTAGCAACTATTAAACCCACAATCATGTTCTATATAATAAGCTTACAGAGTTTGTCTCCAAAACATCCTTGAATCTTTCCCCAAGACATTTGCTATTCCTTTCATTTGTGTTCCTGTATGGATGACAACTTTATTACCAGATTGCCTCTGATTAAAGTCTCCTTCCCATTTTTTCTTAAATCTGAACACTTTAACAAAAAATTATTTACTTTAGTATTCACTTGCAGAGTTTCCTTTTCAGTTAATTTGGTTGTGTTGATTCTGCCATCTGCAATCAGTAATTTATTTTAATGTGCCATGAGCTATTTGGATTTAAAATGGTTGGGGTTTCTTTCATCCTTTAGTTTTTCACCACCAATTCACAGGAGTTCTCTTGCAACAGTTTTCAGCTGTTGCCAGTATCTCTGGAAATTTTATGTCACCAGCTAAAATGAGTATGCTGATTAAAATTGTCTTCATGTCTTTGTAGCATAAGGGAGCACAAATATTCACATGACTTTTTCACTGTCCAAGCTACTCCAATTATTTTATTAAATTCCTTTTGAAACCTCCAGCAATGGAGGATGTGTGACCATGTCTTGTCTTAATATGAGGATCCTCTTTTTTGGATCTCCCTTGAAAAATTCTTGATTGCTTTTCTGGAGGAGGTTGTGGTTAAATAAATCATCATTAAAGCTTCACTGCTTCCCTTTGATTTTGTATTATATTTGGTACTTAGTTGGTGCTATAGCCTTAGAATTTACCTTTTAAACTCTCCAAAGTTCAGATTTTAGCATCACTTCTTCTTTCAGTGTCTGTTTTCTACCCACGCCCCAACCCCCTTTTTACTTCTCCTTGAACTTTTCTTTTCCACATTCTATAAATATTTAGATTAATCTGTGTCTTCTAGATTTCCAGGGCTTTGCTAATTTTCTATCAAGGTTTCTCATGGGCTTTCCATTTTTTCCTTTGTAATATTTTAAAAAGGTCATATTGTGGTGCTCTTCATTGAGGTCTTCAGCAGGTGCTGTTAGTTTTTTCCACTAAATCCTATTCCAATTCAAGAAAATATATGAATAATTTCTTAGAATAAGAATATAAGAATAATTTCTTAGACAGAAAAATAGGAATCACAGATATGATTATCATTCACTGTCATCCTTTCTCCTCATAGATTTTGGAATAATTCAGTCTCATATCATCCCAAAGAAAAATCTAAAAGCTCTGATCTTATTATGAGTTGATTCTTTCTGTTCAAAATGGTGCAATCTTAATATCCTGTCTTTTGGGTTTGTTTGAAGCACAGGGCTGCAGAACTCCCTGTGAGGCCTTTGGTTTATTGTATTTGTTTTCAGGTGTAGGATAGGATAGAAATTCTCTTATAAATATGTAACAGGATCTTTCTTCTCATACCGTTCTGAGAACTTTCTGATACTTACTGCTGCTTCTTTCATTCTCTTCAGTTTTTACCTTTGACTTTCTCTTTTTGATGTCTTGCAGTGTATCTGCAAGCTAAAAATATATTTATTTTGAGATCATGGACTATCTCCCTCTTTGCTCTGAAGTGTTTTTGACCCAGTAAACCTTCACTTCCGTATTGGAAATCACATCTCAGAAATTATCTGTTCTTTCTCTTGACTGGGCTTGGTCTTCCTTCTTTTCTCTCTGCATATTCCCTGTCCTAGCTCCTTCTTTGGAGCTAACAGATTCCTTGTGTCTCTAAGGTAAATTCTTCTAGCAGAATTCTTACTAGGAAATAGTTCATCTCAGCTTCGTGGTGCAGTCTCTACTGGAGACTGATGGTGGCTTCCCTGTCAGCAGTGTGGGGTCAGCGGGCTCAGGAGCTGGGTTTGATGTGGGGCTTTAAGACAGGGCAGCGTGCAGAGCTCTGATGTGGGCAGATCATATCCCATATTAATGCTGTTCCTATGGCTCTACTGACTGCTACAGTTCCAGTCCTTGCCTAAGGATTTTCTTTCAACAGCCGTCATCAATTGATATTTAAGAGGGCAAAGACATAATCAGGGATTTAAATTCTGTGCAGTTTTGAGCTTCTGAGAGTATGGAATTGTCTTCATTGTTATCAAGGGCTAAAGACTTTGTCTTAAAAGCAGCACTCTTGCTTCATGATAAAGAGTTAATTAGCAGGGATTTCTTTTGCTATTTTGAAAAAATAAAAATTCTAGAAGGTATTTTATCTCTTGAACTGCAGAGGAATATAAGTTGATCATTAATGTAAAAACCCAGATGAAATGTAGAAAATATGATGATGAAATATAAGCCACTTTGCTGATATGAGATTGTGTGGTATCTTCTGATGATTTATAGAAAAACAAATTTGATCATTTTGACTTGAATGAGCTACTTCAAGAATTGCCAAGAAAGCAAAAAGAAGTGCTATGGCAGAGGTTGACACAGCTATTGACAGAGAGCTTGATGGAGAACCCTGTGGAAACATGGCACAGGACTGGAGATGGTAACAGTGATGATGACATGGAAGTTGAGATAGTTCCAGAAATGGTAAGAATCTTGTAAAATGAAAATATGATGAGTGTTTTGTGTTTTTTGGGAAATAAAATGGAATATTTCCATAACATCTGAAAACATGCAAGGGTTATCAAATAAAATCACTTCCAAATATCACCTTCCTGCCCATTTTTTAAAATGAGTTAATTTATGCTCAGGTTAAGCTAAACTTATGATTGGTCTATGTTCTAAAAGACTAGATGTGCTCATAATTTTAATTAAGATGTGACTTAGTTTTCTTAGAGTTGAATGGGCTTTTTCTATGTCTCATGTTAATGTTGTAGATGTTAAGTTTAAGTAGCTGGCATATAGTATAAGAAATTCACTACCTGATTTGTAATGTCATTTTATTTAATGAACATCATGAAATCTAGATTTGACTGCTTCTTCCACAAATTTAGAATAGATAGAATTTTTCTGACTCAGACCCTTATGTACTGCCTTCTGTGCTGTATTCTATGTAGCCCTGAGAATACTGGGGGAAAAGGTTATTTAATTTTGGGCGGAAAGAAAATAAATGCAGTGGGAAAATCATTAGAGAAGCCTAGAGGCTAGTAGAAAAGTCACCAGATATACACATCCCTGAGCTACACAAGACCCTGCTAGTTAGGGCCTTTTCAGCTCTGAAGTGGACGTGTGTTTGAGTGGGTTTGTTGCAGATGAGGGTTTTAGTGCAGGAATGGATGCACATGTGCAGTCACAAAGTTATCTACTAGCTGGAGCTGAAAACCCTTTTCAAACTTTTTGAAACTATGTACTTTAAAAATCCATTCTTTTGCCTCTTATTTGATAGGGTTTGGGTGCCAGTATACTCCTTCTTCAAAATGGAAGCATAATAACAATTCAGCTTTGCTCTCTGTTGCTAAGGTTCATTTCTTGTTTGAATTATTTTCTGAGTCCAAAACAAACTGCAGAAGTGTTTCCTCAGCAGTGCTTTCTTTCAGAAACAGACTGTAGCAGTGATCCAAGGAGTGGCAGCTGTCGTTACTGCTTCCATACCTGCAGTGGATGAAAATATAAACTACAAAGCTCTTGTAGAATGTGTTTTTATACTAAATGGTGAGTGCTTCTCTGTACAAAATGCAGCATTTTACAGAGGCTGTTTGATCTGACTGAAATCCAGCTGGCCTATGAAACAGAATTCACAGGAGAAAAGTTGGTACTGGTTTGAGTTCGTATTTATGAGACAAAATTAAGGGAGTGTTTACCTAAAAATCAGCTGCACAATTTCAAAGTTGGAATGTAAATAGTTTTCTTTCTCCCAGCTGTTCACCCAGTGGAAGGAAACTTTGATTATCCTGTGATTTATAATACTTTTAAGGGAAACTCAATATTCCATTGTCACTGATCCAAAGAGTTGGGCCAAACCTTAGAGTTGCCTAAATACTGCAGTGAGCATAAGCCATGAAATGTGTAAATGTGGCAGGAGGTAGCTGACACCGTGAGGTGGAGTTAGTGTGCTGACAGACTACTGTTTTACAGGAATGACTCGGTTCATTGCAGTAAATAAGTATTTCATTACTCTTGTAGGTATTCTTCCTGCATTATCTGCATCTGAAAAAATCCTACAGGATGCCATCCAACGTGTGTGTGAAATGTGGTGGGAGAAGGGACTGGAGGGGAAGGAGCAGCTGGGGAAGACTCTGTTTGTCATTCTGCTGAGAAAAAGCCTCAATAAAGTTGCTACGGTAGGCTGAGGCTGTGTTGACTTTCAGGTTATTGTTGAATATTTCAAGAAAGATAATCCCTCCAATAAAACACTGCCTTCTCTAGAACAAGTTTTAAAGGTTTTTGGCATCAGTTTCACAAGTGAACTGGATTTTAATTTTTTTTGCATTCCTCTTCATCTTTTCGCTCTTTTGTCCAGTCCAATGACCAGGTTTTTTATTGCAAATAACTTTTTGTCAGCTCAAATTTTAAGTACTGCGTTCAGCTAAGCATAGAAACAGCTTTTGTGGGAAGCTTCATCTTCTCTTGCTTTTTATCTTTCTACAAATAATTTTTCTTTCATTTTTCAAAATGTGTGAGTTACTTGGAGTATTGTGATACACATCTTTTGCACTAACCCAGTGGATGTATCCTTATGTCTTTTCCCTGTTTTTTTCCTGTTAACTGCATATATTGTATGCAGTTTAAAAGGTGAAATGATGTGATTTTTACATATTTTGCACAGAATGCCAATTTTCTGTACTTGAGCAGATCTTCATTTGTTGAAGTCAGAATTTCTACAGTTACAAATATTTTTCCCAGTAATGTGATGAAATGAATATCCATAATTTCACAGTCTGTAACAATGCATTTCAAGTTCATTATTTAAAATCTTTTCAATGCTGCTTTGCATTAAAGCAAAGCTACTCCACTCTAATGTGGGCTTCTTCTTTCCTGTCAGGGTGCAGATATAGTTCGTGTATGGAATCTACATCAGGCATTACTTTGTTTTGATTATGATTCAGATGAGAGTAATGAAGTCAAGGACTTGTTGCTTCAGTGTTTTATGAGTGTAAAACACATTAAGAAAGAAGAGGTAAGCCAGCTTTTATCTTACTGTGGTTTTGTGCCAGTGAGCTTTGGTTGCTTTTAATAGTTTTGCAGTTTGTCTTTTTTATGGTACAGTAGATAGCAACGTGAGACAAATCAGCTCTGACTCCAAGCTATAAATGGTGATACTCTGTTTCATTTGGAAAACTTGTTTCTATTCCAGACTAAAGTGTGAAAATTTATGTCTAAATCTTCAGTCCAGTTCTTTTATCCTGAGGCAGTAAGAATCAAGTGCTTTGCTTCTAGTGTCTTTCTCTCGATACTTAAAATCATTCCCTGGGGTAATTGTCTTCTTTTAGAGCAGTTTTTGTTTTATTCAAGAAAAGTAACTGTAGCAAAATAATTTTCCTTCTAAATGACTCCATCTAGAAGATTGTGTTGCCATAAAAAGAACCCAACTTTACAGAAAAATGAGAATTACTTTATTTAACTACATAGATTTCTCTCAGTGAACAGTTGCTGTTTTGTTGTTTTTAGATTGTGCCTGTGCACCAGAATTGTGGTGTCCAAGCCTTTTTTCTGGTTAGGTGACCAGACCACCAGACTTTGTCTCTGAAATTCTGACTCTTCCCTGCATGTGTAAAATAGATATATTCCTTTCCCTGTGGAATATATGAACTTCTGTCATAAAATTAGCCCTGAGGTTGCTGCATAATTGTGTCAGTGTAAGGCTATGTAATTTTAAAAATGGAGATAGCAAAGGAGTTAGGTGAAGTGTTTGACAGAGTTTGGATCCAACATCCAAATGTTTGGATACCTGCCATGAAGTCGGTGGGGTTTTTGTTACTTGCATACGATATTTTAAGCTGTTTTAGTTTTGACTAAAACTATGGTGTACCAAGGCAATATGAGAGGTGAGAATAGAAGAAGAGAAAATGTGGGTGGAAAGAGGAAAGACAGGAAAGGCTTTATTGACAGAGTTTACAATTAATTTTGTGTCCTTGGTGTATTTAATTTTAAGCCATTTTTTGTCATCTGGAAAAAGTGTGTACTTGTGTGTGTTCTTTGTCACAGTACTTAAAATGCATTAGCTGTATTTGATTCTGTGTTTTTCCTTCTGTAATATTTGAATCCACTGTATTAATATTTCATCTTCATATAGGCACAGTAAATAATTGGTAAATGTATGTAAAATACAATTGCTATCTAGGCTTCAGAAGCAAATTCTTGTAGTTCTTTTTTTCTTCCACATTGTGTGAGACTTTTACTATAATGTGCTAATTAATACACAGCTTTTCCAAAGGAAGCTTGCACCTTGAATCTTTGAGTGAAAGAGTATAAAAGTTGTGGGTTTGTTGTGGGTATTTTTTTTAAATATGATGGGGGAAAGCAGTGGTAATCAGTAATGAAAATTTTTCCTGGCATATTAAAACTCATCCACTTTGCTCCACAAAATGTGCGGATTTGGTCAGGCTTTGCACATTTTGTTTTCCTGCACATTTTTCTCTTCACTCTCCCAGGGATTTCTGGTTCTTGACATTTTATTGCCTTTGCATTTTCATAGGCCCATCTCTTTCTGGGTGGATATAGAGAGCACCTTACTGCACTCTCTGCTCTGTCTGATCATTAGTGGTTTAAATCCTTAATTCTGGATTCTTTGCTTTCTGTCTGGAAGGGCTGGCTGAAAGCTGCAGCTCCCAGCTGTAGCCAAAGGGCTCAGCCTTGGCCAGTGGTGGGTCTGCCTTGGAGCCCACTGGTATCGGGTCTATTGACACAGGGAAAGCTTCTGGCACAGAAACCACCTCTGCAGGCCTCCACCACCAAACCTTTGCCATGCCAGCCCAAAACACAACTCACTTTACATCCTGGAGGATAGCAGTTCAAAATAAAAGGAGAAGCATAACCCATTCTGGAAAGATCCCAGGACAGGGTTCAGTTAAATTAAGTGTCTGAAATAAATTTAGACATCTGTGCAGGAGCATAATCAGTACCGGTTCTGGGAAGGATTTGATTGCCTAATGAATGACCCATGCTACATTAAATGACCTAAGTTGCCTCAGACATCCATGTGGGGCTGGCACGTTAAACACTGTCATAGATCTCTGCCTTCTGGAAAACCATCTGGGCATGTAAAATTGCTCTCTGTTTAGGGTGTGCCATATTAACCCTAGTCAGCAGAGTCAACAGAACAATTCAGCTCCATAAAACAGTAACTAAACAGCTGATCACATAAATCACTCTTCAGACAAATAACATTTCAGGGACTTAAACATCCAAATTCACATGTCTCAGATTTGTGAGCAGAAATCCAACCTCACTATATGAACCTTCAGTACTTACCCAGAATGGTAACTGACTTGGATTTTCCTAGCTCTGCAAGACAGGAGATTCAGAGTGCTCAAAGCATTTTCCTGTTGCTGTGAGGCCATTGTACTTCAGTTGCAAGTAGTTTTGTTTGGGATTTGCATGCTGTGGGAGCTCAGTTGCAGTGGTAATGCACCTCATGTATGTTCTCTAATTTCCCTTCCTGGCTCATTTCACTAATGATAGATTTCTTGTAGCAGCAAGAAACCAACCAACTCCCCCAGTATCTCTGCTGGACCTTTCTTTTTGCATCCTGTATTGCTTCTAAAATGCTTGTAGTAATACCAAGTATCAATGTGATGTATTAATTGCTTTTGAGTTGAAAGTGAGCTTCTGTGTATCAGGCCTAATACTCCCTTTAGTGCCTGCAGACTTGTTCTGCAGTTGGTAAGAAAAGTAATCCTAGCTTTTATAGAGTATCCCAGAGCGCAGCACAATAGTAGCTTAAGCTACTGTAACTCCAGGTTGCAATGATCCTGTGTTGCCATGGACTAGCATTCCTCTTTTCCTTTTCATTGTGTAATGTTCGAGCAGCAATGTCATGGTTTGATTGAAGGAGGTAGCTGTTTTCTCCTAGTAAGATTATTTTTCAGACAGCTTAACTGTCTGGAATGGTTCATTATATGCAAGGCTGAAGGAAGGGAAGAGTCAGGAATGCAGTCTATCTGTTCTAAATCAGATCAAACTGATAGAGAACTGCGCATTTATAATTCATTGCAAGATCTGGGAGTTCAGTGTTTCTGCCTTCCCAGGCTGTGCTGTTCAACACACAGTAATATTTCTCAGAGGCTTATCATCAGGCTGCATTAGTGGAGTGATCCTCTGAATTCATCTCTCTGTGATTTATGAAAGCATTCTTATTCACGTGGGGTTTCCAGCCAAACAGCTGCAGAGCACGCTACTGTGTTTTAGAGGTGGGTCTGTTGTACTCGTTCCTTGCTCACCTTCTCTGTGTGTGCAGAACAAAGTCACCTGCTCTGTGTCCACAAGCACAGCAGTACCAGACACTCAACACTGATACTGCATTAGTCCCAAAGATGATAAGTTCACAGATGACAGATTCACCTATCACCAAGTTGTCTCTCACAATAATGAGAATGTTGTTACCAATAATTATTTCAGATCCATTAATCACAAGCAGCAGATTAAGCTAGAGGCACTTATCATTTTCAGGAGCAGGCTCAATCTTTTAAAACCTAAGGCTAAAAAGAATTCATTGGAAGCTATTTTTTGACTTTTTATCATCTATCCTGCTGCTGAGGTTGTAGAAAATGAGATGAGTTTGTCCTCATCCTTGCCTTGTGGAGGGAAGAACTGTAGGTCAAAACTCGCTTGACCTTTTATTTTGTCAGGGATGTTGATGTGTGACATGCCAAGTGGGACTCCTCTATGTTTATATTGGGCCACCAAAGTTGGAGATAGAGACAACTCTCATTGACAACAGGAAGGATTCCATCAGACTTGAAGCCAAAAACCTTGACATTGTATTTAGCCTTTAAGTCTTGATTTTTATGAGCTTCTGAGTTACTTCTTCACCCAAAGGCATTTCAGCTATAATTGTGCAGTTTCTGGCTGTGTGCTTCCATCTCCCTCCCCTAGTCTGTGACTTCCATCTCCCTCCCCAACTCCAAGTGTATCTGGCATTCTATTTTCTCTGTTTGGTCTTAGGTGTGAACACAACTCTTGGGTCAGCTCTTGATGGAAGTTCCTCTGGACCTCTGCTGGTTATTCAGTGACCCTTTTGCACTTCTGCCAATGTGCTCTTTACTACTGCACTTCCTTTATTAGTATTTCTAATTTATTTTTAGCTAGAAAGCTGAGAGATAAAAAGGATCCTTACAACTGGCTGACTCACCCTTATGTATGATCTGACATTTTGAAGTCTTACCCTCACCTGTAAGACAAGGCAGAGTGAAGCTGCCTGTACACATACTGTATAAGGCTCCAATTCCTTGGACAGATCTTGCTGGTTCTGGAAGAGCATTGGCTTATTTCCTTCATCCACAGCCTTCCACTGCCTTTTGTTACAAAATTCTATTGCACATCAGATTTGTCATCATTGTTCCTGACTTGTTAAAATGGAAGAAAGTTAATTTAGGAAAAATAGTTTCTAATTTCATGAAAGCAGCTCCAGGAGGTTCACAACATTACCTTTCATGTGGCAAGAGGAAAGGAATTGTCCTTGCTGACCAGAACATTAAATTTCTTCAGTGGCCCAGCTGTTCTCTGTGGCTTTGTTAAAAATACTTCTGTGTCCAGTGCTGGTAGAGTTGTGGTGTTTTATTTATGCCTTCACTGTCATTCCAGTGTCATGCAGGGATGATATTGCACTTGGCAGAGCTCGCTGATCCAGCCTTGATGAGGGTGCTGATTGCACAGTCTGCTGTCATTCTGGACTGCTGCTTGAAGGCACACCAAAACAGAAAGGACATGGAAAGAGTGGAGGCAGATACATGATCCACATGTTCATTTGTTTTGTGTTTTTTCTACAGTATGAATAAATTAGTGCTTGATTTCTGTTTAATAATTAAGAATCTTAAATAGTTTCTTCCATTTCACCTATGCATTTTAAAATTAGAGATGTGATTTCCTTTGTATTTGCTGATTTTTGCGGTAGCTCTTAAATTGGGTTTTCTTCTGAGCTTTGAGTTCTGTTTGATTTTTCCTCTTTTTCCCTCCCCACAGGGAAGAAGATTCTTAAGTTTTTTGTTTACCTGGAATGTAAACTTCATTAAAATGATACATGGGACTGTTAAAAACCAATTACAATTCTTTCCAAGGTATGCATCCCAGTTAGAGTACTTAATTAGTAAGAGCTTGTCTAAAATCTTATCTTACTCTAAAAATACCTAGTGTATTGAAAAAAAAAATCAGTATCCAGAAACCCACAAATCTTCTGAATATTACTATATTGTTTCAACAACGTCATTTAATAATAGCTCTGACATGCCTGGGTGTACAGTTATAATGTTTAAATGTTTATAATGTTTACAGTTATAATGTATAAATGTTTATTTGCGATTCGCTAAAGCAAATTACTTTGGATAGAAATTGGTCTGCATTATTTGCTGTGCTTATGTGAGGGTTCAGAACCATTTCTCCTTTTGTAAAGGGTTTCTATTTTTCCTATGAGTAATCTCTAATTTAATTTTCTAGGTTTCTATATAAAGCATTCTAATAAGAAGTGGCTTGCAGGATAAATCATAGCCTGAGAACTTGGCTGATGGATAAAAAATATGGATTTTTTTTCTCTGTTTATTCAGTGAAATATTGCTGAAGTAATTCTATGTATTAAAATCAGAGGCTTTATAATGCGATCATGAAGAATAATATATTCCTGTACATGTCTATAAAGAATTTAAGGCATTCTTCATGACATAACTGGTCAAGTATTTCTCTAAATGTTTTGACTCTCCCATCATAAGAGATATTTCAAGTATCATGTAATAGTGCTTGGGTTCATTAATTAAGAGTTTACTTGGTAATTATGGTTGTAGACTTGAAATCAAGATAATTTCTACTAAAAACCAATTTGATGCACAGAATTAAGAACAATATTGGTTCTTATACAAAACTTAATGTTTCACCTTTATGAATTTTACAGATATGGTTAGCATGCTTTCTTGACAGTGTTTCCTATATGTTAATAGAGCCTTGATGGAATACATTGCAGAAGTTTACTTCAGGGCCTGGAAGAAGGTGTCAGTAGAATTCATAGAGGTAACACTATACTTGAAATTTCATTTGGGTAGTTTTGAATTTCAAGGTGGGAAAGACTCATGATTTTCCACCAGAGAGGCTCCTTTAACAAGCCTTAAGGAGTTTTTTTCCCCTAAGGAAAGGGCCTCTTCAGCAGTGTCAAGGAGTAACTATATGTCATGCTTTGAATGTTTTCCCAACTGAGATCAGCTTGGCTGCAGTTAAACAACTTCAATTCTGCTGCTGAAATATTGGTTCACACAAATATGCATATACACGTTTTTCATAAACATACCTGTTAGCTGAATTACTTAAGCTTTTATTCACTGTGTGCAAGTCTGTATAGTTGATAGCTCAAGTATGTATCTACTTTTTGTGGATTTCCATGGAAATTATTAAAGGCATAATTACAGATCACAACAATGCTAGAGCAAAATTTCAGATACCAAAATACTCTTATTTACCCTGCTTTTAGCTTCTGACAATTGGATACACACACATATATATTTATGTATATTCTGAAATTCTGAAATTTTGAAAATCAGTTGAGACAAACTGAGGCCCCCAGCATGGAAAAATTTGGGTAAAGCAGAAGCCAAGTGAGAAATCATAGCAGGTACTATTTTCAGTTGCTTGTTTTAGGGAAAGATATAGTTGCTGAACAGCTACAGTACTTATTATTGTTTTACTGTGTTAACAGGAACATGTGTGTGTTTTACTGTAGGGTATTGAATACAACTGCATTCAGGATTTCATGCATCATGGAATTCATCTTCCCAGAAGTTCTCCTGTTCATTCGAAAGTTAGAGAGGTAAGTTCCAGGAAAGCATGGCATGAACTAGTAGCATCAAAATGAGATCAGTTGCTATAAAGTGGAAAATTTCCATTTCATACTAAAATACCATACCAAGTGTGGCTGGAATGGAAATACTTTCCTTCATAGCAGCCTGTGTGGGGCTGTTTGTGGTGCGCTGGTGGCACAGCAATGTTCTGGCTGCTGCTGAGCAGTGCCTGTGTGGTCTCAAGGCTTTCTCCTCCCCACATTTTCCCTTGGGAATGGGGTGGGCGTAAGCTGACCCAAATTGACCAGAAGGATATTACATGCCATACAACCATCATTCCCTCAGCAAACTGAGGGAAGGTGGGTTTTGGAGAGGCAGCCATTGCTGGGAGGCTGGCTGAGTATTGGTCTGTTTGTGGCAGGTGGTGAATGGTTGCATTTGCATCATTCCTTTGGGGATTTTTTGGTCCTCTTTGCTTCATTTATTAAACTCTCCTTATCTTGACCCATGAACTGCTTTTCTCTTCCAATTCTTTTTCTTCCCCACTGAGCTGGGAGTGTGTGCATGGCTGTGGGTTCTTAGCTGGTGACTAGGGTCAACCCAACACAAATACTTAAAAAAATAGCATATTCTGAGAAATAGTGTTAGAAGCATTTTAGGAGGAGCCTGCTTATAGTTTTGCACCAGATTTGTCTTTGCTGCTCAAAAGTAGAAGGGGATTTTCCAGAGTGCCAGAAATAGATTTTACAGTCTTTTAACTAAACTTTCTTTACCTGTAGAATTGACCTTCCCATAGATGATCACAGGGATGAAAAGTCACAACCTTCTTGAGGCAAACTTAGTAGACAGGTCTGAAATGAAACTTGGCTTTTTTCTTTTTATTATATGTAGGGGATTTATATATGTTTATAGGGACAAGCTTTGATTCTAGTTGTCTGTCTGTGGCATTCAGTCTTGAGCAGAACATTTGAAGCACAATGAGACGTGCACAAGGCTTTTTAAGACATTTTTATTTGATCAATGCCCCTTTCCCTCCAATGCTGTCTTCCAAATACTCAGAATCTAGAATGTATACTGTGTGCAATATACAGCTTGACATACCAGTGTACAATACTATAGTGGAGTTTTTGTTTGTTTTGGTTTGGATTTTTTGGGGTTGGTTTTTTTAGGAGGTTTGTTCTGTTTTGTTTTCTCATAGCTATAGGATTTCCTTGTCTTGTGATTCCTGATGGATGGAACAGGCTTTTGATAGGGCATTTCATGTTTTTCAGACTCTGGGGCTTATGGTCTTGAAAGAGGACAGTGAAAAAATATGTCTTTGGGCTGCAAGAGGAGTAGGTCTTGGAATAAATTTGAACTGACCACTAGAGGGTCAGCTTCTTTGCAAATTTTGTGTAATCTTGTATTCTGTTTTCCAAGATCTTCAGGGAATTATCAGTGCTGTATTGATCAAGGCCAGAAATGTTCAGAGGATGATCTCTTCTCACTTTCTGATTAATTACCAACCTTAGAACACAGCTCAAACTACTCAGTGTTTCAAAGTGAAGGAATTCATATCAAGTTACATTATGTCCTTTTTCTTACTCTGCTCTAGTCTTCAACTTTCTCTTTTTTTTCTGCATAATTCAGATACAGAAAATAACAGGATTTTTAGCTAATTAAGCACTGGTTTGAGTCCCAAAGTGTGCTGATACTTGCTTTTCATCTATGCATAAAAAATGTATTAGGTTTGTACATGTATATTTGGATAACTCCACTTACCAGATAAGTTCCTTTGTTCTTAACAGAGAAAAAGCTTATTTATCTGCAGTTCATAATTTCATGGTTTCAAAGTATTTTTGCCAATTACGTTAAAAATAATTTTTTACAGTACCAAAAAATTAGATGTTTCTGTGAACTTCTCTAGACATGATTTTTTCTTAGTTGTTGATCTTTATATAAACTTATTGACTCTATAAAGTTATTAAATATTATATTTATTAGATTTTTAAAAATTTTACTATTTTTGAGACTTCCTAATAAGATAGAGGGTCAATTAATATGTTTTATTTTATCATTTCCATAGCATGAGAACTCTGGTCTTAGATAATTATGAAATGTAACAGCCCCTTACCACTTCCTGAGTGTAGAATGTTAAAATGGCTTTGGGGCCTGTTTTATTTGTCTTTTCTTAGATGCTGAGTTATTTTCATAAACAAAGTAAAGTCCGTCAAGGAGTTGAAGAAATGCTCTATAGATTGTATCAGCCCATCCTCTGGAGAGCACTGAAGGTAATTATCCTTTTTAGAAATACAACTGTCTTTCTCCAGCTATTAAATTTTGGGTCCCTTCCACATCTTCTGTTTTTATTATTTGCTTTTAAAATGAAATGGCCACAAAAACCAAAATGAGTATTTAACATAACAGATGTAGCTGAGTAACTTTGCAAGTTGTCATTAGGCATAGCATGCACAATAATGTTCTAATTTGTTAATATAATTTACTTGTAAAATGCACTTTTGTTTACAGGTACCTAGAGTGCTTTCCAGGATTGCAGGTGGTATTCTTATCTTTTCAATGTGAAAATTCTGTGTAACCTTGTATTATCTTTTCCAAGATCTTTAGGGAATTATCAGTGTTTTATTGATCAAAATCAGCAAAGTTCAGAGGATGGTTTAGTCTCACCTGTTGATTAATTACCTTAGAATACAGCTCAATGAATTTATTAGAGTATTAATTTAGGAAATCATTTTTTCTAGTTGGATTGTATGGACATTTTTGTAAGTTAACAAAATACAGTATTCCGTTTTTAAGGGAATTGCTGCCTGTCAGTGGAGAGTCATAGTCACTTGCCAAAGCCCAGGACTCAAATGTGAGACTGGACTACTTTTTGGAGGAAGATTCTGTCAAACCTTATGAAATCTGCATACATTTATTTGGAGAAATACAACAGAAGGTGTGGCGGGTGGGGAAAAAAAGGGTACTGATTGATTTGCAGCAAGACAATGGGAGAATTCCAGAAACTGTTGAAATTTTGTACACCTGCTATTCACAATTTTCACATCACTAGTGGTTGCATTGCTGGAGCAAATCATAGAGTACTGCATGAAATATTTGGGGTTTTGTGCTGTTGCTGTGACTCAGAATCACCAGTAGTTTAAGATGCAGAACTAAGAAGGGAAGTTTATAAGTGTTCTACTGTTATGGATTCAACTCCAAAGCTTGAAACGTCAGTTTAATTTTAGATAACCAGTTTGATGCTGCTAATTTAGCCAAATTCCTAATTTAATATAGTGAAGAAAAAATTCTGTTCTTGAACACTGCTTGTGAAACAGAAAGGACACATCAGGCCTCTTTACTCCTCCTTCTTGCAGAGAGCAAAAATACTTCAGTTGTAAGAATACAATGAATTCCAGAGCTGTTGATGCTAAAACTACTTGATTTCATCTCAGAAATCTTTAAACTGGGAATGCATATTTGTAATGCAGATCTCTGTTTTTTCTTCAGTTCCTTGTCTTGCAAGTACTTATATTGCATGAGCTTCTGTTGGGGCTTTTACCAGCACATCTTTTATAAAACCCTTTATGAACCTCTTTAAGTTTTTATAATATAAGCCCATATGTATCTTCTTAATATTTTTTTCATGTTCTTATTATGAAAAGCAAGTGTCATACAAACATAAAAGAGATGTACAGTGATTGGTTGTTAGTATGAGAAGATATATGGTTATAAAAACATTATTATTTAGTATAAGTAGTGATTAAGCTATTTCTTATCAAGCTGAAAAAGTCAAGAACCACTCCTCCAGGAATTCAAGCTTTTGAAGGAAGTGACTCCTTTAAAGTGTTTAGTTGTCTTTTAAAAATTTTTTAACATCCCACATGTTTAAATGAACACGTTCTGGGGATGCACTGTTTTAAATAATTTGAAGTTAATGGTCTGATGCCTCAGACCATTAAATTTAAAAGAAAGCTGTGAAAATTAACTGAAGGAAAACTTAAAATATTGTTTCAAAAGATTCTGAAAGTTTCTCAAAATAATACAAGCATAATGGTAAAGAAATATTAGTAATTTAAATTACTGCAGGCTCTGGCATGGAAAAGTCAGTATGGATTAAAACAGTCCATGAATTTAAAGTCTTAGGTTCTACCTCTGTGAAGACATTGTACAAGCCTGAATATGCAAATACATTTGGGATAAATTCCAGTTAATTAAAGGCAGGAATTTGAACTGTGGGTACTAAGTGCAGAATTAAAAGTGAGCTTAATGGAATTCAGTGTAATGCACTTAAAAAGTTTATGGAAATTAACTTTCTGGAATGGCTATGGTAGACAAGGTCTAGGTTATTGCACAAAACCACATTTGAATTAATTTTCACATGCAATGTTAGTGCAGAAGAGCTATTTCACCCTGAAGTCACATATTATCTTGTTATGTGTTAGTTCTTAAATATAGACAAGCTCAGAGTTAAAAGATTTTTCTACAACTTTATAGGATACAATTAAGAATTACGATATTTTCACCTTTAAAATGTTTGCATTATCTCTAATAAATAAAGAAGAACACAAGTCCCTAACTAAAGAATGTATGTATGTGCTTTATTTACTTCTGTAGTATTCAATTTAAAATTCCTAGTCATTTTGTTGACTTGAAGAATTTGGAATGTTATGGTCCTAGTCCACCATATCAGGTTTGGACAAGAAGAGAAACCCAAGACAGATTGTAAATGAAGTAACTGTTGTTCATTTCTTTTGTGCTTTTCTGGTTTTATTTGTCATTAATTTAAGCCTAAATATTACATGGTTATTGCCATGTTTCTTTTCCCTGCCTTTGATCTCAATGTGATTTATGACAAGGGAAAAAGAAAATTAAATTATTAGCATAATCAGGAATTTCCCTGAACTGTTCTGACTTGCTGCTAAAATTAGGCCTACTTTGCTTGTTATATTGAGAGACTTTTTTTTTAAATTGGATCCAAAATCTGGACCAGATTCTTCCTTCCAAGTCTTCTTTCCAAGAGAAGCCAGTAGAGGCTCTTAATCACCACATTGCTATCTTTGATAAATAAAATATAGTTAGGTGGTTAGATTTCAGCGTTCTCCTTGAGATGCCTTGAATTTCTTCATGGTTTCATTGCCTGCTCTCTTTTTCTGTCCTTTAAGAGTCCACAGGATCAATTATCTTTCACTGAATAAGTGTCTAAATTTGCACCCTTTTTGCACCTTTTTCCTTTTCTGCATTTGTGGCTCTACAACCAGTAAAATATATGGTACACTGAAAATTGTTAAACATGGGAAAATGTTGTGAGGCTTCCCATAGATACTTGATGAGCTGCCTGGAGCTCAGAACATGGTCCTAATACTTATGTGCACAGATGCAGAACTGAATATGTTTTTGCTGGATAAGTTACGCTCCAAGCTTTCTGGTACTTAGTTACTAAATACTATTTTCTTGAAGAAATAGACCTGACCTTTTCAATTAAATCACCTGTCTCTTGACAAGCAAGTTAATTAATCCAGTCTGATTGAATTCAGGAGTCTTCTGTCCTGAAGAGAAGCTTTAAGGCCACCAAGAGAAATCCCAAGTGCTTTTAATTTATTCAGCATTACAGAAAGCAGAAGGGCCCTGACTCTTGATTCCTCAGGGTCATTGAAGATAATGTGCTTTGAAAGCTGATTGTAACAGTAACTCAGGTTTTATTGAATGGGCAGAAATCTAAGATAAAACAATAAAACTCATATGTGAATTTAAGTTCTTCCGTCCATTTATAGATTCATCTCTTCCATCTACTTAATTAAAAACACTTGTTTAAATGTTTGGAAAACAGTATTTGGCAGGATACACCTTTGGGTATTAACAGTTGGTCCTTATGGAAAAAATATCTTTTCCTCCATTTTAACAGGCCAGAAACTCAGAAGTTCGAGCAAATGCAGCATTTTTGTTTGTTGATGCTTTTCCTGTTCGTGATCCCAGTTTTACTGCTGACGAGATGGACATTGAAATTCAGAAACAGTTTGAAGAACTTTTTGTAAGTTTTAATGAAAGTAAAATGTTAAACATGAAACTTTTGTCAGAACTAGCTCAAGAAAAACATGTTGATGCAATTAAAATTTATGGAGTTTCTGGATAATTGTAGGGAAATAAAGGTCTGTGGCACAGAAAATATAAAAATAAACTAATATTTTAAATTTCTATAGTATGTTTTCTTCAGATGCTGTACAGCACTTTAAACTTTAAAAAGGAACTGTTTTGGTTTGTTATTCATTAATCTGTGAATGAAAGATGCCTTTCAAAGATTAAATGCATGAGTAATGATCTTGATCCTTACTTAACCTAGGATTGTGGGGGAAAGCTTCACAGTTACTATGGAAGCACTCAATGAAAGTTCAGTACTGTATTACTAAATACTTCTGAAACTGAATATAATGGAGAGAACCTAAAAATCTCCTTACCAGTCCAGATGGGTGAAAATGGACATAGTATTTTCATTAAGAAAATGTTGGGGAATTCCTGAGTAGACATCAGATAATTGAATGAATTTCAAACTTGTTATGTTGTTCCATAGGAACAGTGATGAGTGTAGACTCATATAAATAGAAGTCCAAATATTCTTAATTAAGTCACAAATGCAAGACTTGATTTATTTAAAAAAAAATTCAAAAGTCCAATGAAAAAAGTTGGCCAATAGTTATCTTAATTTTGCTTCTGATTTAAATTTCCATGTTTTCTTCATAGTAAAATGCATTGAGGGACTATTAATTTTACAGTTCTTTTATTGTATGACAGTTTTCTTAATGATTGAAAGGTAATGGAATGCATTTGGTTTATGATAGGCTCAGGTCAAACAGCAGTAGAGTCATAATAACCCATATGCTCACAGTATTATTTTTCTGTTTGCTTTAGAATCTCTTAGAAGATCCTCATCCAGTTGTCCGCTCTACAGGGATACTTGGAGTTACTCAGATCATATCCAAATACTGGGAGATGATTCCTCCAACAGTTCTTGCTGATCTTTTAAAAAAGATAACAGGAGATCTGGCATGTGATATAACATCTGCTGATGTTCGATGCTCTGTTTTTAAAGTAAATGTTTTTTATCATGATTGTCATTTTTCTATTTTACTCGATGTGCAGCTTTCTAGTATAGGCCACTTAAAATCAAGGAAGTTACTTGTTCTTCAAAATGTCTTAGGCCATGGAATTCCTAATAAATAAAGGTTTTGCACATTTCGTAAAATCCACATGTTTGGAAAATACAAATATCTTGAAATAGTAACTGATTGGCTTTCTGACTCTAAGATTTTTCAATTCCAGTTGTACACACACTGTTTTGACCCAATAATTAAATTTTTTTAGCTATTAGAAATGATTAGACTTGAAGCTATATGTAGTTCCAGGATTTCTTACATCGCTGGCTTGAAGGCATCCCAAGACATGCATAATAAGGATTTTGTATCCCACTTTGTGTGTCTGAGATTTGAATGGATGAAAATAATTCCACAGTCTGGTGATGCCTCCTCCCATGCATTGCTCACTATGTTAGAAATAGTTCATCTACATCTTTCTGGCATGTGAGAAGTAACTGATAGCTTGGACAGAAAAATGAACTCCCTAAGCACCATTTTCACTTGAAGATTTTGTGTCTGTGTCAGTTCAGCCTTAAATTGAAGCTGTCATCCTGTTAATCCTCACTTGCTGCACTACTGCTTCATGGTGAGGCTATCCTGGATAAGCAGAAAGTACTGATTTAAAAATGAATTAGGAAGAAACATGTATTTTTAATTTGAAATCAGCATATTTTAGAGAACTGGTGTATCCTCAGGCAGAGGGCAAGACCATGGTCTTAGTGTAGCTCTGAAGCTGATTCAGCTGAAGTGAGTTCACTGAACACTGTTCACTGTAAATTTGAAGTAATCAAAGCAGGTTTTACCAAAGAATATTACAAGAAACGTAAGCATGCACAGTGTCTGCCCCTGCTTTATTTAAAATGAGATATTTCGTAGTCCTCCTCAACAATTTTTAGCTACAGATTTTTCAGCTCTACTCTTTCTGGATTTGGTTTTTTTTATTTTAGTGCCTACCAATAATTTTGGACAACAAACTAAGTCACCCACTCTTGGAACAGCTCCTGCCTGCAACCAAACACAGTCTTCATGACAGTTCTGAGAAGGTTCGAGTGGCTTTTGTGGATATGCTGCTCAAAGTGAAGGCTACCAAGGCTGCTAAGGTAGGATAATGACACTTGATTAAGTAGCAACGAGACAAAATCAAGGCATTTATTTAAAAAAAAGAAAAATACATTTTGAGACTGCTGCAGTGTTCCTAAAAAAGAAATAACCTCCTTTGCTATGGTAATACCCTTAGCATCTGTGGTATCCTGAGTGCTCTCTGGGTCCTTGTTCTCTCTGGATGGGCAGGGGAGAGCAGCGGGTTATAGCCACACTTCCCTCAGCTACTCAGCTCTTCTAAATGCCTAATGCCTTAACCCAGTACATTTTTTGCTTTGATTCTCCTATTTTTATAATGCCTGTTTCTATTTTGTGAGCACATCTTTTGGATTTTGGTGTCTTTTTATAATAATTTGTAATGTATTTTGTGTTCTGCTGTGGACTCTTATTTGGGGCAATACTGTCCATCCACAGGCCTTATTGCATCTTTGAGCTCTTATTCCACTCTCTAATGTTAATAGTTCCTTACTCTCAATTTTATATTTTAATTTAACAATGGTTTTGTCTCTTTTGTTTATGTCTAATAAAGACATAAAACTATAAGAAAGCATCCAGAGGAGCCTCTGAAGGTGGTGAAGGGTGTAGAAGGGAATCCATACAAGGAGTGACTGAGGTCACTTTGTGAATTATTCTGAGTTTGCTGCCATTAAAGACAGAGAAAAAAGATAATTCTCAATGTCAGGGATTTTTTTAGGGAAAGGAAAGATCAGGTTTATATAAAGAAAAAAAATCCTAGTAAGTGTTAGATGTTTTTCAGTAACTCCCTATTGATTTAGGAACTGTAATGTGTATCTCTGGTAAGTCCTGGGATCACTTTAAACTTATTTTTCATGACAGTTTTAATAGGAACATCCATAGCTTGAATTCACAGGGTAATTATTGGTGCAAATATTTCTACTCAAGGGTAAAATAGGTTCCTTAGCATTGAAATTTTTTTTTTTTAATTTGAAATTGTCCAGCATAATTAATTCAGAATCTTCTCACAAAAACTACAAATATAGTGTTACAGCTGGAAAACAGCTGTGTAGTCTTTCTGAATTTCATAGCATTTGATTTCTGTGGTACAAGTAAATGAGAGCTCTGCTAAGAATGGGATGCATTCAATATTTAGTAATGTAAGGTTTGGGATGGTTTTGTAAAGGGTGTTGATCCATACAGGGTTTTAAGGTGTAGACAATTCTTGTAGGTAGTTTGGTCCTACTTTGTCCTGTGAGGAGAATACAGTTATTGTCATTATGTGCCATACTTCATATTTTATGGTGATATCCTTGTAGAGTAAATAGTTCTTCCCTGTATCTGTGGGATTGCATTGGTATTGCAGGTGTATTGAACTGGAATTACTTGAACCACAGTTTTAGCAGTGAGTCAGAGATACCAGGAGATTTAAAACATCAGCACAGCAAAATAACATTATTGCAACATAATTTGACCTCCAGTACAAGTTGGTGTAAGAATAAAAAATGCTCATGTTTTCCAGGTTGATATTCTTTATATCTGATTAGACTATTTACATGGAAATCACTTAATGAAGGAGATAGGTTTTTCCTCTATTTTTGTTTAACTGTTTCGAATATCTTTTTCTCACTTCACAAAAGTTCTGGAATATCTCTCCCATGGAGCATCTCCTGTCTCGCCTTGAATCTGACTCTCGGCCGGTGTCGCGGCGCATTGTGAACCTCCTGCTGAACTCCTTCTTCCCCAGTGCCCAGCCCGAGGATGTGTGGTGTGAGCGCTGTGTCACTCTGATCCAGATGAATCCAGCAGCAGCCAGGAAGTTCTATCAATATGCCTATGAATTCACTGCCCCCACCAATATAGGTGAAGCACAAAACTTTCTGAGCGTTTGGAATTATTGATGTCATGCTATGTAAATGCTTTTTTCTTCTTATTTCTGTAACAGTGGTGCATTGTTGCTAGTTTTTTGGGGGATTTAGTATAATATTAGCTTCTAGTTTTGGAAATTCTTGACACCAGCAATAAGCACAGCAGACAGAGTCATCAGCCTTTTCAACAATCAGATCAAAGCTTTTCATCTCTGTTCTTAGATGCTGTACTGTACATTCCAGCCCATGGTGATGCCTGGTCCTTCTTTTCCCCTTTTCTCCCTACACATACCTTAAAATGATCTCAGTTGATACCTCTTTCTCATGTAGAAATAGGGTAGCAAATACCCTGATGCCTTAAGTGATTTGAGATCTTCATGTGAAAGATTATATAGAAACTGAAAAAGTGTTTACATCTGATAATCTGCGTATCTGGGGTTTGTGGATCAGTATTTTCAAGTTGCTCAGAGAAAATCTAAAAAGTCCTCCTTCAGAAAGCTTCTGAAAGTTTCAGTGAAAAGGGCATGTACTGCCCAGAATGTCACTGCTTTTTAGAACAGTCCTATTGGAACAAGTAAAATCAGGAAAATTTTGTTTCAGAGGAATTCTGTTAAAACTCAAGTAATCAGCTTGGAGTGATTTGGGTAAAATTCCTAAACCATTGCCTCTCACTGATTATCTTCATAAGGTTATGAAATCACAATTATGAAATCAGGTTTTTGTACTTCCACCAGAGTGGCATAACCCTTTCACTTTTTCTAGAGCTGAGCTCCTCGTTTGGGAGTGCAATGGTTGGGCTATGGCATCTTTGCCAAAGAATGGGAATTGACATCGGAATAAACATTGACATCGGAGGGAGCGTGTTCTTGAATGTGGGTCATTCAATTAACAGCTATGCCAGATTAGATGTAGGAGTTGTGGGAGCTTCCTCTGATTCTCATTTGATAAGGTGGTGGTTATTTGGAGCTTTTTTAGTATACTGTTTTAACAATAAAATTAGAGCCTGATGATAATGTTTTCATTTCTTCTTCATACTTGAGGATATAAAGCGTATTCACATTTTTTTCTGTTTCCTTTACGAGGAATTTTTCTCCATTTTTTTGTAGCTGTTTCTGGTTCTGTTGCTTACTTTTTAATACTGGCTTTTTAGCATTGTAATTAGAAGCACTTATTTCCAACATTCTTAGCAAATAGTAAATGTCTCATTTATTCTTACTCTATTTAAATGTAGCTAAATTGATGCTCACTATTCGGCGCTGCTTGAATGCCTGCATCCAGAAAGCAAGGAAAGAGAGTCCTAATGATAGCGGGGATGATGATGATGATGATGATGATGAAGATGGAAATGAAAAGGAGAACACCAGTGTAAGAAAGTCCACTCTATTCTAAATTCTGGTAACTTCTTTTCAGTGGTGCTTAATGTGAGAGAGAATATAACAGAAATGCCCTTGGGCATCTTTGGAATTGGAAGAGGAGAACTGCCATTATTGGATTTTCATGTCCTGCAGTAGCATAAATCTGGTTAAGTAGCTAGAATAAGATAGAAGGAATATGAAGGATATTTTAAATTAATAGTTGCTTAATTGCAGTGCTGATTATAAACTGGTCTGATTTTGCAGTTAAATTATTTTAAAAATTACCATTGCAAGATATGTGAAGTTAAGAGAGATTAAGATTGAATTGTGGAGTTCCTGTTCTACAGCACCCACAGTGTCTTTGTAAAGTGTCTAGAAGGACTTCTTCTAGCGTCTTTAAAGCCTTATTTTAATTTAAAGTTTTATTTGAAAATATAATGGGTAATATCTTCTAAATGTTTGTATTTCAGGTGCTGGATAATGTGTTGTCAGTAAATGATGTGGCCAGCATGGCAAGTTTGTTGGAGATCACTGTAATACTCTGGAGAAGCATCCGCAAAGCACTAGATCACAATGAAGATGCCAAGGATTATGCTATCAGGAAGTTTGCTTCTGTACTTCCTGAATATTTTAAAGTATTTCAGGTAATGAAAGCCTAGATTTTCCTCTATTTTCTCAGTATTTTCTTCAGATGCCTTCATGTTTTATGTCTTTTATCTATTTTTATGGCCTTAAGTATTCTTTTTCATTGTTGCTATAAGCTATAGACAGCAGCAATTTTCTTAGAATCCCACAAATGGGAAGAAACTGTTCTCCAACTGCTGTGTCTGTCTGATGGACCATTACCTAAATAGTCAGCTCAAAATACTTATGCAATAAATTTCTCTCCTTGTAAGGTTTTCCTAGGGTTTTATTATTTTGAATGTTTTAGAACTTTTGGAAAACAGTAAATACAAATGTGCCATTGCAGAATAAATACTCAGTGTACATTAGAGTCCACCTGCTTTCCTTACCCACTGTCCCCCAGACTCTTCCACCAGAACCACTTCTTATGATTCAGTTGCAACTGAAGGAGCTGAGTCTCTTTTTTCACTGAATATGAGCTGGCAGAGTGCACTTGCAGCCCAGAAAACCAAACATGTCCTGCTGACATGCTGGAGTGAGTCCAAAGGATGGCCCCCAAGATGATGAGAGGGATAGAGCACCTCTCCTAAATGGAAAGGCTAAAAGAATTTGGATTAAGCCCGGAAAAGAGAAAGCTTTAAGGTGTCCTAATTGCAGCCTTCCAGTGCTTGAAGGGAGCCTGCAAGAAAGACAGAGAGGAACTTTTTACAAGGGAGTGCAATGACAGGACAAGGGGGAATGTATTCAAATTAAAAGAAAGTAGGTTTAGATTAAATATAAGAAGAAATTATTTTTTGTGAGGGTGGTGAGGCACTGGCACAGGTTGCCCAGAGAAGCTGTGGATGCCCCATCCCTGGCAGTGTTCAAGGCCAGGTTGGATAGAGTTTGGAACAACCTGGTTAAGTGGAAGGTATCCCTGCCCATGGCAGGGTGGTTGGAGCAAGATGATATCTAAGGTCCCTTTGAACCCAAACCATTCTGTGATTCTGAGGTTTCTGCTAATTTGAATCTACGCTCTAATGATCTGATTGCATTTATTTATTGCTTTTGTTCAATATAGGCAGTTAATTAAAATCAGTCATTTTCAAATTGTCAGTCTCCTTGCTCTAATTCTTTTAGTGTTATTCTTGAGAACGATGCCATCCTGAGGGTGGCCAACAGTGGCTGCTGCACCCACAGTGAATTTGGACGGATTATGTATGGATATATTTTTCTTAGTTGATTGCTTTTATGCTGAGGTATCCTGAAATATAGTGGCTGTTCCTGCAACTGCAACTTTGCTTTAGATAATCAGGGAGTGAAAAGCAGCTCATTGCTACATATTATTCTACAGCACAGATACACAAGTACTCTGTACCCTGAAAGCATTTGGAAGCTGTCAAAGACGTTCAAATCTTTTTTTGTAGAGGATGTATTATCATTTCGGAAAGGGTCTGGTGAGGAGACAAGATATCCAGCTTTAGCAAGCAACCTCTTTGACTTTGATAGTCTTATATAGTGAATATGCAGCTTGGATCTAAAAGGACCTGTCATCAGAGGCTTAGTTCCTAAAAGTAGTGAAGCAGACTGTCTCTTTCCTGAAAAAGTTACAAATATATTTTAAAAGTTCTTTTAAAAATAAGAGCTTTAAAAAAAGGTTTTAGATCTTGGAATGGCTAAGTAGATGATAATTTCATTTGGCTGTTTCCATGAAGCTTGTACATAGAGATAAATAATTTTTAAAGAGTTCTTAACATAGATTGGTTTCTGTATAACCTGAGTGAGATTATGTTGTGGCCTAGACCATGTATTATGTCATGTTAAACATTACCATTCGTATATAAGACTCCTTTTCTTTAAAGACCTTTTAATAAGTTTGTCTTGTGAATTAATTTAAGGCACTGATTGAGAAGAGTTAGATGGTGTCATGGTTGTGCAATTAAACCTTAGTCTCTGGTGGAAAAAAAAGTGATGTGGAGCTGCTATTTCTTTTGCAATGAGTATTAACTTAATGGAGCCATGACTATTCATGGTAGTTATTCTGGCAGTTTGTCAGAAAGTGAAGGATATGATAATTGGTAATTGACCTCCAAAAACAGGAATCAGACATTTCCAATTGCAAGCCACATATTGTTTTGAGTTTCTTTCAGCTCCATTTGTAGTGGAAAAGGGAAATCCTGAATTTGAGGAAATGTAATTACAATTTTTCAGTAATGTCTTTAGTTTTGCTTGTATGTGTGCACCTTTACGTCATACAGTGTAATTCTTTTATCCTAGGATGAGCGGTGCATTGCTCCCTTGATTATTCTGGCATCCTTTATGCCCCCTGGTGCTATTCCTACATTCAGGTACTGTTTAGAAATCCAAAATGTAAATGACAAGAAGTTTCTTGTTGGCTGTATTTGTTCATTTTTCACAATCTGATATATTTTGGGTAAATTAAGACACTGGTATATTTTGGGTAAATTAAGACATTGAAACTGTGATAAGTCAGTAAAATGTGTGATGATCAAGTCTGCCTAAGTCGTTGGTGAATCCTTTTTTTGTATTATACTAAATGTTTTCTGCACTTACGGGTGTGGAGGTAATGTATCTGTCTGTCTGTTTTCTTTTAAGCTGTAGTGTGGTTTCCAGACTCAGAAATATTGACAGTGGAGCTGACCAAAGCAAATATTCTATGCTGATCGACTGCCTGTGCCACTGGGGTCAAGTGGGGCACATTATGGAATTAGCCTGCGATTGGCTGTCTGACTCACTCACCCCAACAAAGGTGTGCCTATGCATGTGACAGGGAATCTGGGAATTGCCAGACTGCTTTAAGGCATCTTGCTTTTTTTAAATAAAATAAGACTTTTAAATGCTGTACTATTCTGCTTTGAAATCAGTTCTAAAGTCAGATACTAACAGAGTTGTACTGGTTTTGTTCTTTCTTCCAATTCAGAATACTAAAACATCTGGGCGTCGAGTTCGTATCCATGTAACACATGAATCAAAGCCAGACTTGGCAATTGATTACATTGAGTATTTATTGACCAATCCTGTCAATTGTGGTTTCCTCCTTTCTGTTCCTAAAAATAGACTGAAGAAGCTTTTGAAAATCCTCGGTACTGCAAAGGTAGTTTTCTCCTTATCATAAACTGCTTATAAAATCAGTGCTTAACATCATATATTGCCTGAGGCAAACTAAAATGCCTGCAAGAACAAATAAATGAAGTTCATGATCCCCTTTCCCTTTGTAAAAAGATTTTCCTTTTGATTTGTATTTCCAATACTCTAAACTTGAAGTAAAGTAGTTCAGATTTGTTTATAGATGGCAGATTTTAACCAGCTCCTCAGTTTTAGGTGTCTCAAAATTTTTGTGATCTAGTTTTGAGTGTTTTTAAGGGACCTGACTTTTAGAATATGTGAATAAGGAATAGTCTGAAAATCAGTTATGGCATTGAAAAATTGAAGTAATTAGAGTATGCTTGTTGCTTATTTGGGGTTGGTGCTTTGCTGTTTTTATGGGTTTGGGGGTTTTTTTTAACCTTTTGTTTAAAGCTGTTGAGTAAAGAAACATTTGACAGGTGTTTCTGAAAAATATAAATGTAAACCTTGATATTTCAGAGGGTTCTCTGCTCAATTCTGAAGGGAACAGATTCTGGTGGCTGGAATCAAGCAACCAGCCTAAGAGCCTTCAGCCTCTTTTGCAGATTGACTATTCATCTTCAGCAGAAGGTATGATTATAGCTTTCCAAAATAAGCTGGAGTTACAGTTGACAGTACAAGGAATTTCCAAAACAACTGGAGAGACAAATGGTAAACTTCCCTTTGGGTTTTTTTTTTTCAGTTTTCTGAAGAAGGAAAGGATCACCTTTCACTTCTGAAGGAGACAGGTGCTTGGATAAGAAGTGAAGTTGTACCTTTTATACTAGCAAGTGGTCAAGAGGATGGTATTGCAAAACACAGCGATGTTTCTGAATTAATTATCCAGGTTAGAGGATTCTTATAATATATATCAAGCTGCTTTCAATTTGAAAAGCTGTAGGTGTAGCAATTTGCAGACAAACTACATTGGCATTTGTGTCATCACTTGACACACAGTGTCCCTGATCTTGATTTGCCTTCAAAGAAAGCATTTGATGATATAATGTGGGAAAGGTTTTAGCTAGTTCAGAATTGTTTTCTGTTGCATTCCTCTGACATTTCATTTAACCCAAGGTGGATTTTAGAAGTGAGCTTTTACCAGGTTTTGGTGAACGATTTGGCTAACTTTGCTCCCAGTCAGTGTCTTTGAACAACCTAGCTCATATATACACAGACTGATTATAAGTTCTCACTCTGTCTATACTTCCATCTCATAATCTATTTACTATGTAACAACCAGTGTGTCTGTAGGGAAAAGCTCTTTTTGTCAGCTGGTTTTAATTTTGCTATTAAAGGCAGATAGAGATGTCATATTTTGCCTCAGTAAATGATAAGTGTCAATGCCTTTGATCTGAGCCTGAGTGAAAAAGAGAGGACTTATTGCCTTTTGAGAAACTATTTACTGTTGGGAAAGGGCAATTGAAGCATTTGAAGGACTGATTGAAATTCGTGCTTTTCAACAGGTGTGAATGAGTAACTCCAGTTTGGTACACCAGCTCTCAGTTCACACCTTGGCTAAGAGTTCGTGATTTTATTATTTTGAGTTTTAGAATGGTTACTTTACATAAAGTTTGAGTTTCCTATAATTATGCACCTCTCTTCTAGGTCTACCTGACAGTGTGTAAAGATGTCATAATGGTGGGCCTGGGAAATGTCACATTTCAAGCACACCTTTTAGAATTGGCCCTTCAGATTATGCAAACAGGTACCCTGTTTTGTACTAATAACAACATCTGCATTTATACTTTGCTGACTTCTCTTGTATTAGCAAGTTAGTTAATCCCTTACTTTTAAGAGTTGGAGGGAACATTGGATTCATACTTAAAATGTTAATTGGACTGTATGAAAATTTCAGCTAAGGTTGCTCAGAAAGGAAATGTATTGTCTACACTTGTAAACTATCACTATTTGTTGTATCTGAGTTTCATGCTAAGCTTGTACCTGATGAATATTACAACTTTTATATTATGGTATTTATCTCTTTCTCTAGAGAGAGGTGGCTCTTGTGCTCCAGTGTTGCTGTGTACTCTAAAAGAAATTATTGAAGCTTCTTTAAATCAGAATACTGAGACAGAGGAAGTGACAAATCTTTTCCACACTCTACAGAATGTCTTTCAGAAAATTTTAGAATGTGTGGCACATAGACTTAAGAAAGAACGGGAAGAAGGAATTCAGGTATCATATTACAGTTCAAAATGCTATGTAATTGCTAATGTGTAGATGACTCCATAATTTTTATGCAAAAGGGTATACTTCGACACTCTGAGGTTGTTACCTCTTTTACCAACTGTTTGGGTAGACATGACAAAATTTTCAGTTAAATTTTCTAAGTTTTCTTGCTACCAATTTTTTTTGTCCATTTTGGTCTCATCATGACAGAAGGACCAGTAAATTGCAGAACAAATGCATTCTGTTGCCAATGATTCTGGACCATGCTGGTACTTCTGGGCTGTTAATCTCACCTGCAGTTAGATGAACTTCCTCAATCCAGAGCAAAGGATTTGTTTATATATATTATGATCTTGGAGGGAGGAGAAATTTTCTTTATTATTTATTTATTTTAGCCTGAATGATAACAACTTCAAAATAGGTGTGGTGTTCTAAAATTCTTGAAAATCTCACATCTTCACAGAAAAGTAAACTTCTTGTCTACTAACGCAGATCCTAAGTAGCAGTGAAATGGGTGGATCACTCTGAGATCTACTTTTCAGGACTTCTGAAAAACATTCAGTTATTTTTTGTAAGAACCACTGCTTTGTTTGTTTCTCAAATTTATGAGTAGACTTCCCATGTGTTGCTGATTCCCACTCTGATCCCAAGTGACTAGAATACCTCTAAAGCTTTCAAGGTGTGATCTGCACTTAACAGAGAGACTTGCTAGTATATTTCAGTTATACTCAAGCAGTGTGAAAAAACAGGTGTGTTTTTCTTTTTGGTTTTAGTTAATTCACTCTATTCAGGTGCCTCTTGGAGAATTCATCCATGCACTGCAGTGCTGGCATTCCTCATTCCCAGCAGTTCACGGGGGTATACTCTCCACTCTCCTGGCTGCAATAGTAGCAGAGATAAATTGTATGCTACAGAAGGTAAAGTTAATCCTGATTTTCTTTTTTCTATTTAATGCCTTTTTGCTTTTTAAGTGTTATGCTGGAACGACAGAGCTGTATTCGGAAAATTGATCTTGGTACTGCAGATGAGGATTTTGTGTGTGTTGGCATGGAACAAACAGGAAATTTTATTTGCTATAATTTCATATTAGAGTTCATCTCTCAGATTTCTGACTGCAGCTGTGGAGGAACAGACTTGTCCTGATACCTATTTCAGTATCTGCCCCTGACAGGAGAGCTGAGCAGTTAGGCAATGTTGGGGTTTAATAATGTGTGTTCTGGAATATTCCCTCTGTGGTTTTGTGCTGGGTCTGGCTGGGAAGGAGTCAGCTTTTCTCTCTGCAGTCCCTGTGCTGCTGTGGTTGGCATTTATGGCCAAGACATTGTTGAGGATGCACCAGTTTGTTTTGGCTGCTGCTGAGAGTGCTTTGCAGAGTGTCAATGTTTCCCTGGTTCCTTCACCTTCACTCTAAAAAAAAAGTAAGGCTGTCGGTGGGCAAGAGGCTGAGAGGGAACACAGCTGAGACCATGGACCCAAACTGATCAAAGGCTTGAAATGTTGTGTTCAGCAATTAGAGCTCAGGGGAAGGAGAAGGACAGGGGCTTGTTCTAAACCTACCTCACTTCATCCCACCCAGCATTAGGGAATTTTGGAAGTGAACCACTGATGTGTGACAGATTCCCATTCCCTAAATGGTCCCAGAAGGTTCTGTGGTCCTGTTTCAAAGCAGGCTGATGCCCTACTTGGCACTGATCGCTTGTGTATTCTCTACTTCCATACAGAGACATTTCACCTGCTGCATCTTTTTTTTTGGTTCCTTTGGTTTTTGTGCAGAGGATTTCCAAATATCTGATCTATGTTGCTTTGGAAAGTAAAGAAAAAGTCTCTAATGCTGAAAAGAATGTGGAGACAGAGGTTATTTCATATTCTGAAAGTCTCAGGAACCACAACTGTCCTTGAAGGAGAAGGGCAACATTCCCACCCCATTTTTCTAATGCGGATAGTGTTAGGAGCAAATATGATTAGTAAGATTGGAAGCTTTTAGACCTGAAAAGGAAGAGTAGAGGCTGTACTTTTGCTGTGGGTTCTGCATGTGTCAGAAACAGAGCAAGAAAGAGTTGCCAGAAGGAACCACAGAGCAGCTTCCAAGGTTCTGTTACAGGAAGCACTGAAGGAGACCCAGCTGTTTGCCTGCAGGTATTGATGTATCAGCTGAGATGCTGTGGGGTGACAGCTGCCCTTTACAGATGATGCAGAGTAAACATTTCTGGGCTTGAATATACTGGAGATTCACACTCAGAGATTGAGTGTTCATTCCAGTCACTTATCTGAGCTGGGGTTTTCCCTGCCCCCAGGCTGTTGTAAATCAAAATTCAGTTCTAACTAAATATTTGTCATCTATTCAGAACTTTATACCAAAAAGAGCAGGTGTCCAGAAAATCACTGTCACTGGAGTTACATTTAGAAATCATGGATGCACACTTCAACTTGGAGCCACAGAGGGGACTCTTTTGTGTTTAATAGGCTGTGCCTTATAAAGAGCGATCACCAGTGTAGTTTAATGAAACTTCTGGTGAAAGCAACTGCAGAGAATATTGGCTTTGTACAAATGCTGTTTATGTGGTTTGGTTTTAGTCTTTCTAATTTAAATTAGTTTTGTTTATTTGGACACAACACAGTTAGATTAAAGCTATTCAAAGAATACTTGTGTATGTTCTAATTGTTTAAGGATAGGTCCTGGTTAGTGTAATTATTGAAATACAATATTCTGCATACATATCTTTCTTGAGCTACAATGGTTGTTGACTTTTTTCTTTTTTAGGCTTCCAGTGAAAAAGACTTGATTATACCAAAGACTATTTCAGATCTTCCCCCTCTTTCAAGCAGTTTAATGGCTGTCATTATGAAGTCAGTTAATGTTGTCAGGTAAATGTTTCTGTATTAATTTTTCCAAGGTTTTTGTTAGTATAGAGCAGTTTATATGTTGTCAATAAAATTTTAATTTCTAAATTCAAATTAATTTTGAAGAACTAATTACTTTCTAAATTTATCTGGACTATTTAATAATCCCTTTTTCTTGACATATTGCCTGTCGGGATTGATTTCTGGGGTTGATTCCATTTTTTTAACCAAGAGTGCTTCTTATTTACAAGGCTGTTAATCATGATGACTTTTTTAATTATACATCTTGGCTTGCTTCTTTCATGAGATACTTATAAAGCTGAGTCCCCTCAACACAGAGATATTAAGATGAGATAAAATAGTTGCCAGAAATAGAATTAATCCTTTAGTTGAACATCTCTAACAAGGTGACATGTACCTATGGCTGTATTAAAGTCACAACATCAAAATAGAAAGTATCTAAGTGTTAAAAGCCTCCAAAAGTGAGCTTACGTTATTTATCTTTTAATACTTAAACTGGAGGGGGGAGGGTATTTGCTCTATTTAGTGGAGGCCCTAAATATCTTCTAAAAGGGCCTTAGAAATTCTATTGCTTTCCCTGACTTATCACTACTAATTCCTCTTCTTAATTTCTTCATCTGACAGGCACTGAATATCCCTGTCTCTGCTGTCATGATGTCTTTTTTTTTTTCTCAACCCTTCTCTAATTCTATTTGAACTTGCAAAACAAAAGACTCCAGAGACTCCAGCAATAGTCCAACTAATCCAAATCTTGCTCTTCCATGAGGCAGCATCTCAAGGTGTTCTCTTCTAGTGAAACAATTATTTTACACATCTCTTTTCAAAAGAGATTAAGAAAATCAGTTAATTCTTGTGAAACTTTTTATTGTAGTAATCTAGGTGAATCTTGTCCATTCTTGGTGGAGAAAACTGCAAGTTTGGGCCAAATTGTTTCTGAGTACTTGGGAAAAATGTATCTTCTAGTAGTTATCCTTTTAGGGCAAAGATTTTGAGATAATTTCCATCTGGTTCTACTGGTGCCTCAGAATTGAGACTACTTATAAGGCTCTTTTATAAATCTGTATTGATAGGCCATAATCAGAGTTCAGTAGTGAATGGTCAGTATTTCAGAAATATTTATGTCAACATGAAAGCCTTTGACGTTACAAAATCTAATGTGAGGTTCTGGTCTGTGAGCTCAGAGTCATCTTGCTCTGAGGTCTGCAGAATCTGTTTTATTTTCAATACTAACCAGTCAGTCTCTAGCACTGAATTTCAATCCCCTTAGAAGTGATAGTACTGGGAGGCTTGGCAATATCTGTCCAATTGTGTGAGTATCTTTCATTTTATTAGGGAACTATCTGTATAGGAACCAATTCCTTACCTCTGAGCTTTATATGTATTTTTAAATAGCTTATTGTTCTGCTCTATTTTATCTTTGCCTGCAGGCTCATGTGACCCTTTCTCAGAAGGAGGTGGGGAAAGGCAGCTTCAGTGAGTCTTGTTACAGGTTAATAAAATTCCAGTGTTCCTTCATGGAGGGAGGTTAGAGTGTGCTTAGTGACCCAAACAATGATAACAGCGAAGTCAGGACTCTGATCCCAGTACTGTCCATTAGCAATTTAAGAGCAAGGTGAAATAGAATCAATGCTTGGTCACATTAGTCCACAATAATACAATGAAACTGAAGCAATGCATGAGCAACTTCATAATGCTTATTTCTGAAGCTAAAGATTTTTCATCTTTTTCAGCTCTTAGAAGCAATATTTGACTTTCTGCAAAACGTTTTTACTGAACTGGTTCTTAACTGCATATTTCATTTTGATAGCTTAGTACAATAAAAGCCTGAAGAACAATTGAAGTCAGAACTGGCAATGTATGATGTTCAGTTTTCATAACAGATAATAGTATTGCTAAAGCTTTTTTGAAATATGTTAGGGAAGGTTTCTGTAACATTCTGCTCTCAGTTTTCCCTTCAGTTCTTCACAGCATTTTGCTTTGTGCTCTGAGGAGTATCAGGATTATGGATCTCTTCCATCTCCTGTTTTATTCCTCTTGTTCTTTTATTTGTCTCTGGTTTTGAGAATTTCTTCTGAGTTAAATTTGGGATTTTTACCACAAACACTAATGACCAGTTAGTTTCCATTCTGTGGTATTGACTTATTCCCTACTGCAGTTTAGTTTGGTTGCTGGACCTTGTCTGAGACTCTAATTTTATTTTTCTTACCTTGACATATATCCCAAAATACCACTAGAGTTTGCTGGTAATACTTACATCTCTTGCTAGAAGTCACAAAATCTCTTAAGCTACATATTGAGTTAGTATTTTACAAGGAGGTGCTGTCATGGTTCTGTTATTCTGTCCATAGTTTCAGTAACTAAGATGTTGCTGGAAGTGTTTCAGAGCATTGTTTAGTTATAAATTATCTTCACTGGGTTGTAATTGGAAAAACATCTATTTTAATATTTATGAGAAACACATTTAAGGTCAAAATGTTAATTAAGCCTTAGTAGGTACTAGCAAACCAATAGAGTCATAGAATATATTTTTTCAAACTTGGGTAGAAATTTGAGTTAGAAATTTCAGTACAAATTCTATTAATTAAATTCCAGTAGAACCGGTAGTTTTTTCATGGATTGACTTTGCTAAAATATACCCCAAGCTCTTCACTGCTCTCAACAGCCACTTTTTCTGTTTGCAGACTTCTTTATTTTCTTCTCATGCAATTTATCATGCTTTGATATTCTCAGATCCAGGGGCAGCACATCGTTTTCAGTTACACAGTCACACTGCTTTGTCCTGCATAGTATCTTTGAAGCTGTGGTGGCAAACTAGCATAATTACAAACATATTCTGTTCAGTTCTATTTTGAAAGAAATGTGGTTTATGACATATTTTTTCTTTATTTTTTTCCTTAGGTCAATTTTAAATGAATTAATGGAGTGCATTCTCTCTAAAGAAATTGAAGGGATTTTTAGTCTAACTGCTGCTGTCTGCATTGTGATTATAATTAAAGGTCAGTTAAAACATCTTTGTACTTTTTCCATCTTTCTTTTTATGTACTACATTGAAGTACACAGTAATTAATCCAGGACAGTGAAAATCCAATTTAATATCTAATCTTCCATTAAGGAATCTTTTATGTTTAAGGTTATCATCTGAAAATATGGAAGGGTGGGATTGTTTTTTGATAAATTATTATTTTGTCCAACATTTCAACTCATTTCAAATAGGTAAGCACAAAACTTCACTTCTAAAGGATATTGCACCTGCCATTCAAACGAAGCTAATAATATGCAAGGATACTGCCACAGGAGAATCCAGCAGCACTGAAAGGTGGGTGTACTGTAGGAAAGGAGCACTGAGCTCTCCTGTCCCCTCTCTGCAATAATTAGCTGTGTTATGTACTTACATAACACTGTTGGAGTGTTCTGAGTGATTGATGGCAAGGTTTAAAATACTGGGGGGGAAAGTGGGAGGTATCGAGCCCATCACAGTATTAAATTTCCTGCCCTTGTATCTGCTGTGATTGCAATCTTTACATATTTAGCTTCGGGCTTTTTTCATTTAATTTGAATGTGTTATCACTTGATCCTGTGTATTGCAGGATTCACTTCTGAAATCCAGGTCTGTTTGCAGCAGGGGTAGAACAAAGCAAATAGTCCAGTTCCTATTTCTTATTACTTGAAGATTTTTCTCCCACTTTGGCATTAGGTGTAGGAATCCAAATCCATGCAGGCAGTAAAAATTTAACTGAATATAATGATGTCTTTGAGACCTTTCCACAGGTGATTTTATTTTGCTCTTTTTGTTGACGGGGGATTTCAAGTGTTATATCTTATGTATCTTTTGTGGAAAGTTTTTTGAAAGTGATTGGCTGCATTGTATTTGCAATCAGTTATCTCAGGCCTGTCGAGAGAATGATGATGAATGCTTTAGCCTTTAGTGTCTCAAACTTGCTTAAGTCTTAAAATTTGTGAGCACCTGACGTCTGCCTAGTTATTGAACTGCCCATGGAATCAAAAAGTGTGCAAAGGAGATATTATAACCACAAATACAGAATGTGAAGAAACCAGACTGGAGTTATGGTCATTAATCCAAAATTACTGAGAAAGTTTGCAATGCACCACAGAGGCCTGAACATGTAGAGCTCCTGGCAATCTTTCATTCTTCAAACTAGTGATCCTTACATTGAATCAAACAATGGATGTGGACAGACTTTAAAGTAAGAAACCAAACCAGAGACTCCCAAGCAAGCCAAAAAGCCCATTGTGTAGGAACCTCATTGTATAGGAGCTTCATTTACTCAATAGTTTCTTGCACAGCTCTCCTAGCCTGAGCACACATCCCCATTGTGCTCTTCTTATGGATCCTTGGCCTGAGACACGTTGTTCCCTGGCATTTTAGTGACTTGACATACACATTGGTGGCTGAGCTGTGCCTCCATCCAGAGGATGGTGCTCTGGGTCCCTTCCAGTACCTGAAAGGAGCCTTCAGGAAAGCTGGAGAGTTGCTTAGGTCAAGAGCTAGCTTAGAAACTAAATCAAACACAAATAAACAAAACGCCATTGTTATCCTCATGAAATTACTTTACAATGGGTTACCAAGTGTCCTACTAGAATATTTTTAACAATAATAATAATAATTATCTGGAAAAGAAGGAGAGCGGCAGGGTATTGTGTTTCAGTTTGCACTTCTTCTAATCAAGACAGTAGAAAACGCTGTGAAATTAAAGTGAATCTTAACATGATTAAATAAATAGGCACATTAAAGTGAATAATTGCCGCCACTTGAGAGCACTAGTGACTATAAATTTCAGTGAGAACACAGATAATTGCTTTATGAATCTATATGATTGTCTCTGCCCAGTGAACTGGGACAAATCAACCTGCGTGTTTGGGCAGATGAAGAGTATAAGATGCTACACAGTGTTTTAATTTCATGATATATGAGTGGCTACCTTTGTATAATAGCAACCCAGGAGGCAGGTGCAGACAAAATTCAAGGGTTAGGGATATGAATATGATAATGGGAGATTTTTTTTCTATGAATCAGAATTGCACACCATGATAAAATTCAGAAGCTATCATACAGCTTTGCAGAATTTGAGGGGATTTAATATTTGTACAGTTATGCTGGGGAATTTTTACCTCCAGAAGGGTAAAATAATTGATTCTGGAAAGAGGTTTGGAGGAAGTTCTGCAGTGATCAGGTTTTGCATGATGAATTGAAGTGTGTTTGCAGTCCCACAGCCAAGACAGAACGTCAGACTGGGCTGGGCCTCTGGTGGCTTCTGATGTGCCATTTGTAGTGTTCTGCTGCTTGTGTGCTAATGTAGCTAAAATGTGATTACACATGTTCTAAAGCATGCCCTATTGTTTGTAAACTATTTTATCATCCTGTTCTGCTTACCAAATTTTAGTTATGGTATGCTGCAAGCTAGATCTCTGGCCATTAATTTGAAAGCAGTCCTCTAACACACATTACTGTGCTGCTGCTGGCTAAAATACTGGGTTTTAACTGATTCTTAATAATATTACTATTTTTTGCTTCTGAATGCATTATCTCCTAATAACTCCTTGAGGGATTATTTTATTCAATACCCAGGTATACCAGGAAATGGTGACATTCTTTAATTTCCCAAGAGAACTGGTATTCTGTGCCAGCATCTTAACTTCAGACTTAGGAGTAATCTCTTACATATTAGCAATGAAAGAAAAAGGTAAAAAAGCTGTCTGGTGTGGTAATTAAGGTGCTGCCCTTATACAAGGAATTGGTGCACTAATTCAGAAGCAAAACTTTTCACTGCAATTTACTTTTTCCTCTTCAGCTGAGCTAGTGGTTTCAGATAGTCCTGTGGGTCTTTATTTTGAAAAATGCTGTTCAGTGCATTTAAAAATTCTGGACAGCATACTGTGTATTGAGAGAATTTCCACAAGAGCAATGGCACACATATTAGTTTATAAAATGCAAATATTTATGCCTAACAAAAAAATGCAGATAAACCATTTGGAGGCTAGAGAAAAATGTCTCACATTCTGTAAAACCTAATGTGCTATAGGATAGTAACTTTTACATAATACTGTGTATTTACTTTATTTAGAATTTTGATATATGAATATTAGAATTAAGTTTAGTTAATGGCTGTGCAGAATTTTATTTTTTTTTTAGTATTATCAATTAGCTAGTTCCCAAATTCATAATTGCACTCTCATTGCGTCTGTAAATTATGGCTCTTGAATTGTTTTGGTGTATAACTCTGCGTGTGATTTCTCTGCTTCTCATCTTTAAATTCCCTGGAAAGGTACTTGGTAAAACTGACTTCAGCTTGTCTGGGAGGAGCAGAGTTATCCCAAGTGATGGCCTTTGGCCAACATGCCGATGGTCCCACATGACAAATCCATTAGGTTTTTTAGCCTTGAACTGTAAGGAAATAAAATTTCTACAAAGCAGCATTGTGCCTGAAGCCACAGTACTTAACAAAGAACTAATTCTGTAGTACCTTGTAACACTACCTTCAGTTGACACTGGAGTTTCATCCTGGTTTAAAGGCTGTGGCACTGCAGAGAGGAGCATGAGATTAGAGATCAGAGAGCAGGACTGAGAGGAGTGTGAGGGCAGCTCGAGGAGGCAACTGCTAGTAAGGATAACAGCAAAAGCTCAGGCTTGGAAAACAGTTGTCATGGGTGAGAAGAAAAATTATAAAGGCTGAAGAGTGAGGGAGAAATCAGGAAAGTAAAAGAATGAAAAATGGTCTTAGAATGAATTACCTGTAAAGGATTTCACTGTTTTGTTTGAACAAAGGAGGAACAATGCTGTGCAGGAAACGAGTGGGTTCGTTAACTAGATGATGAAATATTAGAAAATGTGCTTGAATTGACATAGTAATTTAAACTGGTTTGCTGTTGGTTATTCTAATGACAGAGATGACCAGGAGAAAATGGAAAAGTTGAAAGAAAAAGAATCCAGCTATTTAAAAAGTAATTTGTAAAGGCATTTTAATAAACTAATATGGACTAACTGGTCAAAGAAATCATGTGGTAGCTGTACTCTGAGAATCAAATAGTTGAGGATTGATTTGGCGTTTAGCATTTCTAATTCTGTTATGCATTGTTTTATGGCATTTCAGATTCCTGTATGAATCATCTCTGAAAATTTTGGATGAGTTTTTGAATCCTTGACCACACAGAAGCTTTTGTCATGAAAATTAAGAGAAGATGTATTGCTTTGTAAAAAAGTTACCTTGTAAACTTCTGAATTGCTTAAGATTATTTTCTGTTACTCTGTACATTTAAAGTAAGCAAATGTATAAAAGTGTGTATAGACATTATGTAATAGTAAAGAATTTTTAACAGCTACAAAGGGGTTGTTCTGTATACAAATATCTTCTTGAGGGGAGTGCAAAATCAGTATTTTTGTATCTTTGTTTTTGTAAAACAAATAATAATTGTATCATATATACTCCTGAGACTGAAGTTGCATGTAACCTCAGTTCCTGGGAGGACTAGAGCATATTTCTTAGAGGTTATGGAAATGAATCTTATTTTGATATATGTGAGGGTCAAAATGGTGATTGAGCATAGCCATCATGGCTTTACCAGGGGCAAACTCTGCCTAACTGATCTGACTTCCCAGCCTTTTGTAGAAGAAGAGAGAGCACAGTGTGTCCTGTTTCCTATCCTTGGCAAAGACTTTTACACAGTCTTGCACAGTATCCTTACAGCCAAACTGGAGAGAGATGAGATGGATGGATAGGCTTGGAAGAGGAGTGGAAAACTGGCTGGACCATCAGAGTGGAGGAATAATCTGCTAAGGAGTGAGATTGGCAGCTGTGGCTGGGGCACTGCTGAGGGCAGGCCCTGCTGCCAGGGCAGGTTGGTGACAGGGTGAGCAGCAACCTCGAACTGATGTCAGATAACAGCAGCTGGGAGCCACAGCTGACACCGAGGGGCATCTCCTGATGTTCAGCAAAGACCTGGAGCTGATGGGACAAATCCTGCACCACCCACACAGGCACCTGCATGAGAGCAGCTTCTTGCTGCCTGCACCTGCCTGCAGGAGAGTAAAGGAAAGACTTTCCCCAGAGATGAATGAATGAGAATGTGAGGCTGCAGAAACAACTTGAGCAAGAGAATTTCTCATTGGACATGAAAAACAATCATTATGAGAGGGAAATGGAACTGGAAGAGGTTGCTCAGAAAGCCTGTGGAATACCCATCCTTGGAGATGTGCAGAACTTGGCTGACAAGGAGGGAGGGCTATGACCATCCATGGTGTTATAGCTTTGGATTTTACCCTACTGAGCTAGGGATTGGACCAGATTCTCCCCTGAGCTTCCTCATAACTTGAACATTCAGGTGATTCAGTGCCCAGTATGCTGGGGAGAAATGTCTTAATTATTAAACATAGGCTTGACCTGTGGGCCTGTGCCAATGGCTATTGAGTCTCCAGTGTTACTGAGTGGCACTGACACTGAAGTTAACCAATCTGGCCAAATTAAGACAGGCTCTTCATTCTTGATTAAGATTTGTGCAAAGCTGTACCTCCCATCTGTCTAAACAAGCATCTACTCTGCTGGTTTTCTTTCTGTGGTAAGAGACTGTAAGGTTTTTTCAATATCTGCTGTCAGTGCAAACATCAGACCCATACCTGAGTTGATATATAAAACTTCCTTACAGGATAAAAGCTGTTTTACCTGGAATGTTGATATTTAAAAGCAAACAGTTCTTAATAAACTGTCAAGCTTTGCAACGGGATTGTCAGTGTGTGCATGGATTCATGAGTTCCAGATTTACCTCATCCACAACATTGGCCTGACCAAAGGAACTAATGCTGCCCCAGCAGGTAGCTGCAAATCTGCCAACTGTTTATCTATCAGCGTCTTTATAAAAACTGTGTTCTTTGGCCTTCATTCTTCTACATCTGTTAACAGGCAGGTGTTCCGGTAATGACCTTTTAAATCTTCTGATTATACAAATTACTCAATGAATATGTAAATAAGTTTCTTTTTTTCTGCTTCTCATTCTCTCAGTATTTGCTCATATCATTAGATTAGAAAATAATCCAAATTTACTGCCTTGTTTTTCCTCAGTGTATAGCTTTGGTTTTTTCCTGGAATTCACGGTACAGATGCAATAGCCCTGTCAGCTAGGAAGGAAATAAAGGCCATTCCATCAACATAAGAAATGTGTGGATTTCCTTTGAAGAACTCAGAGGTGATACTGCTAGGTAGGGTAAAATATTTAAAGATAAACCTTTGTCTTCCTGATGGCTGGTACTCAAGTGATTCTTAAGAGGGTTGAAATAATTTTGTGTTAGTCCTGTGTTAGCTGGTGAATGTATTTCAGCTCACTTTCTAGTCCAGCTCTACTAAACTGCTCTGCCATGAAAAATCATTGGCTTTCTGCAATACAAATAATGGTGGTGGCATTCCTTGAGTCATGGTCTGTCAGGGCTTTGTCCTTAAGCCTTTGTGGCAAATTTCACAAGCATATTGGAGGAGTTCTATGTTTCACTTGCTGTTCTCATTGTAAACCCTAATCTTGCAAAACTTTAAATCTACATTCTCCTTCTGTTTGGAAGAGACAAATAAATAGGACATTTCTTAAGCTGTTATCTTTTGTAAACCTGTAAAACAGACTTGTTTCATCTTATTAATCAAAAGTGCTGTTGGGGAAGAATTGTTGTTCTTTGGATATGTTTGAAAACTTCCCTTAATCTTAGGGATCTGTTCATCTTTTTGAAGAAGTTGAACCTGACTTTGATTAATAAAAAAACCACTCCTTTGGGCACTGGCACTGGAAGGTGCTGGTGATGAAGAGCTGCCCACAGAGGAAACGTTCTGGACACAATTGTACCTGTGAGAGCCATGTCAGGAGCTCTTCTCTTTGTGCATATGTATTCAGGATCAATGAGACTGAAAAAAGTAATAACTTAGAACTACTTTCAGTAATCAACATTGTTTGTAAGGACTAGGGTCCTTTTTGTAATGACAATGTTCATTTGCTTTGTTGTCTGGATGGGAAACAAAACCCTGTATCTGCCACCTATCACAGCTTCAACTTGTGAGCTAAGGAAAACCAGGAGAAATTCTCAAGCTTCTTCCTTAGCAAATAAATGTCTTCAGGTATGGATACAAGCACACAAACCTTCAGAATAGCCAGGGAAGTTTAAAAAATTCCACCTTGCACCTGTTGTTTACTTCATGAGAGCTGCAACTCACTTTATATTTAAACTCCCATGTGCTGCTCTCAAGTGTTCTGAGGTCTTTTGACTTTCAGAAGGAAATCAGACTAATTTTGACCAAATCTTTCACCTTACCTGAAGGATCCTTAGTGACAGACCCTCCATAATGACTGTGATGTGAAACCATGACCCACAGCAGCGACCTTTCCATATTCTTTGCTGATCTGCTCCAGTGTCTTGCAGACCAAGACCATTGCAGCGTCCAGCTGTGCCTGTGCCAGGAGGCCCCGTTGTGGCAGCTGCCCATGTCTGAGAGAAGAGCATGGCTTAGTACTGGCACCCGGACAAGCAGCTGGCCAAGGGCAACTTTCAGGAACAGCTGCAGAGCTTTCCACTGGAGGCCAGCAGTTCTTCAGGTTCATTAAGCCCTTGTAAATAGACACAGATCTTGCCTAATTGCTCTGGATAAGAATTCTTGGTCCTGGCCTCTGTGTGGCTGCTTGTCTGAGCATGACCTAAGCCAGAGCCTGAGGTTTCCAGCAGTGCTGTAGCTTTGGCTTTAATTTACTCAGCAGTCACTGGGGAATTTTCACTTGGTTAGGGTGTCCAGCATAGATGTGTTCTGGGTCTTCTCTAATCAGTCTTTTGTCTCTCCAGTTCTGTATCATGGTCCTAGCAAAAATTATATCCTGTGTCACAGAGGAAATTTCACTCTCTGTTGTATCTGTCACCAGTGTTTGAAAACAGTTTGGCAGTAGGAGTTGTTACTTTTATTTTGTTACTGTTCATGACTCTAGTAAGCAGAAACTGTTACCAATCTTTTTCTTGTGTCATTCGTTTTAACCAGAGGATCACCTTTTTCTTAGAAAAATAACTTGGTTCTCAAATACATAATGTGGCAATTGTTTTCTTCATGGTGCTTACATTACTTAAAATGACAATTTTCTGTATTTTTCCTATGTAAAATTCTAGCATTTTGTTTTATACTCTGTCAGCTTGCCTCAGTTTCAAATATATGTTAAAATTTCATTAGTTCATGCTGATTTTTTGTACTGTCATTAATGAAAATATTAAATAAGATGCTTTTCCAAAACATAGTTAGTAATTACTTTTCAGCCTAATCTAGTTCCCTCTTCCGTTCAGTTGGTTGCTTACCCATCTTACTACACCTACAATAAATCCTTGTCTTGGGTTAATACATTTTTATTATGCTGCAGTAGCAGATGCTCTGCTGTAAAGCCTTACATTTTAAGCAGGTACATTTTAGTAGTTCTTGCTGGAGAGGTGCCTGAATCCTGTGTGACCCCATGCCCACATCAAAGGACATAGAGGATAAAGCCAGCCCAGCCTCCTTCAGAGTTCTCTGCAATGTGTAATGACGTGTGCTTCCTGCCTTTTGGGGTAATTATTAAACATTTAGATAAACTGTTTGTGTTAGCTCAGCTTCCATCTGAATAAAAGAATATTGATTTGGCCCTTTTTTTTTTCTTTTTGTCGTTGTTTCCTACTGTTAACATCCTTACTTACCCACTGCCTAAAATTGTACCTGAGCACAAGCTTCTTAGTGAGAAATTCAGGCTTCATGCACAGGCCTTTCTGAAGTCTTGCCATGGTTATTAAAAATAGGCATTTGCAACTTTATTTTCTCAGAACAGCCTCTAAAGGAAAAATACAGCATCTGTAAGAGCCTACAAATTCAATTAGACCAGTCTAGGTCAGTACTTAGAAACAAAACAAAACAAAAATGAAAACCCAAAGTAACTCTACTTCCTGCTCTAGTTCTGGCTATTTAGGGACAGTGTGACTGTCCTGCATTGAAGGAAAAGCTCCTTTGAAAGGATGGGCTCCTTTTACTGATCACTGACAAAAACTGTGTCCTTTCTTACACCAGCCTCCATGGTGGACACTACCAATACACAGGATACAGAAACGGCTTTTACTCTCAGTATTTTCTCAGTTCTGCACAAAGAGAAGTTCTAAGGCTTGTTCTGTATTTAAAAGTAGTCATTTTTTAAAGGGGATCATTCTTCCTGACAAAAATCATTGCCTTCTCTTCTGTCCCCAGTTTCCCTCTCATGGATTGCTCTCTAGGTCTGCAGGACAGTGGTTTTCATGGGTCTGTCCCCCCATGATGTGTAAATCACTTCTTTGCCAGTGCCTGAGCTGGTCAGCAGATGAGTTTGTCTTGTGTACAAGAGCTGCTGGGAAATGTGCAATGACCACAACAACCTATATTCAAACTGAAAGACCGTAGCAAAAATGTCTGAGATTTGCATGGTGCTCTCTATGTCCCAAGAATCTGATTTTTAAATGAAAAACTTAAAGGTGGGTTTACCATATTCCAGATCAGATTTTTTTCCTTTTGTGTCTCCTATTGTGACTCCTATTGTCAGAATTTTAAAAGTTAATGTTATGCTAGGGCTCAAAAAGAAAACAAAACCAGTTTACGTGCCATGAAATTGAGAACTGTTTGATGCAAGAAAGAGCTCAAGGATCTGATTACAGACCCCTGGTTCCCTGATTTGATCTACACTGGAATTGACAGCAAACTTTGGTTCCTAAGCCATCCATCACAGGTCAGCCAGCCTCTGGGGGATTCTTATCTTCCCAGTTGAGATCACAGAGCCTCAAACTGCCTGAGTAGCACATAGAGATCAGGGAACCTTGCCTGCAGATTTTAATTTATCAGTGGATCATGATGCATTGATTGAATGCTTAAAAGCAGGCAGGCCTGTTCCAGGGTGATCTAATATTAGAAAGCACTCTGTGCTATCTGATGAGACTCTCCTGGGCAATTAGCACATCTGAGCAGGTGTGATGCTTTTGACTCTGGAAATAAACTGAGTGTGGAAAAAAATACATGGAACCACTTTTTGGTTGGTTGGGGTTTTTTTGTTGTTTTTTTCCCTTTTTTTGTTTGTTTTAATTATAGTGAGAGGGGATCAGATTTTTTTTTTTTTCATAAACCTATTTGTGAAGACCATCTTTGTTCTCTTGGCTCTCAAGCTTCCTGTTGCAGTTCCAGTTTAGGACAGCTCTTTTATCTCTAATTATATTAATCTGCTTATGAAAGCAAATGCCAGTTACAAGTTTATTTTTTTCTTGGATTTTTTTCTAATTGTGTTTAATGTAATTCCTGCCAGTAGAATTTTGTGCCTTTACCATTTTTTCACCATGATTTTCCTTTTTACATTGGCAGCTTAGGAGATGAAATGATAGAATATCACACACCTCAAAGCAAGACTCTTGTTCATCTGTTTGCATACCTCTTCATCATGCACAGTAGAAACTCTCTTTTACAGAGCAGAAAAGTTGATGAGAAATGCCCAGTCTAGGAGGGAGATTGCCTAGAGAAGCAAAGTAGGTATTTTTCATTGGTTTTTGATGCTCCATTGGAACACTCTGAACTACAACAGGGAGCAACAGGTGGGCTTTTAAAGTAGTGATTCAGAACAGAATAAGAGCCTTGTCTTTTTCTATTATTTAACTTTTAATACTTTCTCCAAAACAATGATTGTTCTCAACATAATCTTGTACTTGCAGAGACACATAATGTAATTTCACTGTAGTCTAAACAATGTTCCTCTCCCCAGCTGTCATTACCATGAACTTTCCCTACCTTTTTTTTTTTCCCAGATCACAGCATATTCTCAAAAAGTGACCTTCCTTTAAAAGAAATGCATCGTAGGCCCAAGCAGTCTTGTTCTCTGAGATACCAGAATGCTTTCAGCAAGACTTTCTAATTTTTAAACTGGAAATTATGTGCTTACTTTGTTTTTTATTCATTTTTATCTATTTGAAATAATCCATGTCAATAAGCATTGTTATAAAATTGCAGTGAAAAGGGTCTGAGCTCAGTTGCTCCTGCTCCATTCTGGGTTGCTATCTAACATATTGGTCAATTCTACATTTCCTTTACAGTGTACCAGGAGGAAAATACCCTGAAGCTTATAGAGACACAGCAGCTATAACAAATATTCTAACCTCTGGGCTACCACCAGGTTTGCTTCTGTGTTTTACAGTAAGCAGGACAATGTTTCCTGGATAGAATATTGAGGATGACCTTACCCCCAAGGCAGATTGTCTCCAGTAACAGGCAGCCAAAGTGAGGGAGAGATGCTGGAGAAAAGAATGAAGGGGATCAGGCGACTTCTTGAAAATTTGCTGTCCCACACTTCCTTTCACCAGCACAGCAAGGGGCTGAAAAATGCAAGAATCTGCACTTTGTGCTTTGTGAAACCAGATCCTCCCTTGTATGTCTTCAGGATGAGAGGAATGGCTCAAATTGTGCCAGGTGAGGTTTAGATTGGATGTTAGGATCACTCTCTTCACTGAAAGGGTGGTTAAGCATTAGAATAGTCTGCCCAGGGAAGGGATAAAATCACCATCTCTGAAAGTTCAAAACATGTGTGGATGTGTCACTTGGGGATATGGTTTTGTGGCAAACACAGGGTTGCTGGGTTGTCAGTTGGATTCAATGATCTTGGAGGTCTTTTCCAACCTTAAAGATTCTATGATTCTTTGAAACACATGAGGACATGGTTTAAGAGTGTTATTAGAGCTGAAATTTCAGGCACTCAAAAGTCAAGTAAAGGTGTGCACAGCTTAAATCTCTCCTGTGATTATGTGTCAAGTGACACATCTTCAATCACATTAAGAGAAGTTACTCATTCCACACGAACTGTTCCCTGTACCTGCTCCATGGATCATGCAAAGCCCTTGCTGCTGATGACACAGCAAATGGTCAGTGCTTTTATCCCCTCATGGTTCAGCACACAGCTCCACACTGAGCCTGCTGCCTGCTGTGCACACCCAGCTCCTGCAATTGCATTACTATGGCACTACTCACAGCACTCCCTGAATTTCACAGTGATTCATGTCTCTTTCTGACTCCCTGTAGGTTTACTTATCACCATCTTAAAAATGCAGTGGCATTAAAGTAAAAATTTCCATGGATTTTCATGTTTGCCAGGTTATAACACTTGTTTCCTCAAGACACCCATCTCCAGCTGTGGGTGCTCAGCAGTGGAACCAGGCTGCAGGTTCTGAGTCAGGTACAGCAAGTGGGGGACACATAACCAGCTTCAATCAACTACAGGCCAATTCTTTCAGAATGGCAAAGTGCAGTAATCTCATTCATCCTTTAATTGAGTACAAGAGGAGTGGGTATCCCAGGGGATAGTTGCTTGTAAAATCCATTCACCAAGTATCAGGTCTTACAGATTAGCAAAGCTGGATGAAAAAAGAATTTTTAAACTGTTCTTGAACTCTCTCCCATTAAAAGAACCTAATTAATTTAAAAAATTGTCTCCCTATTGACATTTCAAATCAATTTTGATCAATGGCAACCAAATCTAATTATTCATTGCACACCTAAGGGTTTCAAGATGGTTTTGAAGAACAAGAACATGTTATTAAAAAACATTACAATTGTCTAATCCTTTCACTTGGATATCCCATCATAGTGTGCTCAGACAGCAATTTTTTAAGCTGTGCTGAGACCTCTAAATGCCCATTAAAATCAGCAGAGATTCATGTGGTTTTGTTTTAAAATCTGTCTCCAGAGACTACAAAACAGGCAAGTCCCAGTTCAGCCTGTGCTGGGCTGAGGTGACAGTGGGTGTTAGCAGGAAATACAGCCTTTCTCAGTCAGAAGGGACCAGCTCCAGAGCACCTCAGTCACCTGTGCTTGTTCTCACAGAGGCCATCCCTCTCCTAGGGAAGCCCAAATTCCCTTTTATAGCTTGACACCAATATAAAGATGCCAGAATGGCCTCAGAGTTGGATTCATCAGTTACTGTAGCCCTGCCTTGAGACACCAGGGGTCTGTTCTTCACAGGTTCCGGACATCCACACATTGTTACTTCACTCCACCTTTGCCTTTTCTTCCAACAACTTCATACCAGCAGCTTCAGCAAACTTCTTCCTGTAGGTATTACCATCAGTGGTATTTGAACAAGTCAGCTAGAATTTTAGATGAGCCTTAAATGAATTTGGGTTCAATCCAGACCTGCAAATGCCTACATTAACAGAAGATGCTTCTCCAGCATCCCTAGCAAACCAGCAGGAGAGATTATGGAAATTTTCCTCACA